GCTAGTCCCAGGAATGCCTGTGAGTGAGTCCCCACAGACCCAATACCCCATAAGACCCGGGCCTTTCAGGGTTTACCTACTTTGTCCTGAATTAATTCGCTTTTACCCATGCCTCCAGAAAAAGTCCAGCAGGCCCTGCATTTTAGGGCCTGTCTGGATGGGCCCTCACTCTCTCTGTCTCATCCTTCTTGTCTGCTCTTCATTTGTCCTATTGAAGGATGGCAGTTCAGCCCTTCTTTGTTTTTTTCTGTGTCCTTACAGTTTGTCCACATTAGCAAAATTGCCGTTATTGGCTGACATTCCCTTTCAGGATGCACAGCACATCCGCTTCCACCGAAGGAAGGAAATAGAATGAAGGATTTTAAAAAAAGCTCAATTGAGTGAACATAGCTTGTGGTTAATGACCTTTTCCATAGAAAGTTATACTAATGCTGGCATTCCAATTGCATGCAATCTGATGTATTCCATTCAAACCGTATTTTTCATCCAGTGTAGATTGGGGAGGAGCATTGCTGAAGTAGAATGCACTGTTGATGTTGTGAGTAGCATTATTAAAACCTGTAATGTTGAAATGTGGTGAGTTGGCATCTAGCTTTGTTGACATCTGGCTTTGAAGCAGAGTATTCTCATTCATATTATAGAAATATGGAGTTAGAAGAGAGCACAAAGGCCATGCAGTCCAACCTCTACTAATAGTGTTCTCTTATATACTTATTTATTCGGTTGTTCTGTTCCATAATACATGTCTTACCACATTACTTTGTTTGTTCAATGTCCAATTGAATTGAACACTCAATATTCTCGTTTAATTGCTTTCTCTCATATCAGCTATCTTAAATCTTATGCTGGGAGGAAGGTAAGATATACATTTAAGAATTAAATAATCACTGAAAACACTGTCCAAGACTTTTCCAAATTAGAGTGTAATGTAGTGTGTCACATGAGTTTGCTTTGGGTGTAACCAGCTCCATTATTTCTCAGTCAAAATACTACAAGCCCACAAATATTCTTTTCCCCTGTAATAGGCTGTTGAGATGTGGAGGACCTCCTGTCATTATCCTGTAGTCTTCTATTACTATTGATGCTTTTAGTTTGCTTTAACTCTTTTTAAAGTCCAATCTCTATGGGATAAGCAGTTTGCTGACAGCAGTAAAAGGATCCTCCTGGAAGCACTAATAATGCGATTTATGGAGCTCAATAGAGCTGTATCTCCAGAGCACAGCCTAGAAGCTATATGTTAAGGCTATATTTTTAGATCACCTGAATGCTGTAGCTGTATTTTGTAGAGCTCTACAACAGGGGTCCTCAAACTTTTTAAACAGAGGGCCACATCACAGTCCATCAAACTGTTGGAGGGCCAAATTATAATTTGGAAAAAAAACGTGAATGAATTCCTATGCACACTGCACATATCTTATCTATAGTGCAAAAAAAAACACTACAATAATTAAAATGAAGAACAATTTTAACAAATATAAACTTAGTAGTATTACAGTGGGATGTGTGGGCCTGCTTTTAGTAATGAGATAGGATTGTTGTTGTTGTTGTTGTTGTGTGCTTTCAAGTCGTTTTAGACTTAAGTTGACTCTGAGCGAGGGCTGGGTAAATGACCTTGGAGGGCTGTATCCGGCCCCCGAGCCTTAATTTGAGGACCCCTGCTCTACAAAGTACTCAGGAGATGGCACCATTACGACTTCTGGGAGGCTTCCTAGAGAGCTCTCAGTGAGCCTTGTGGGACCAATGTAGCTTAGATTGGGTTGTAAAACAAGTCTGAAGAATCACAACAGAAAAAGAGGTTGGTTTTCAGCAGTAAGAGCGGAGCTACAACCCTACTGGGTTCCAGGGGGTATACCAGCCTTTCTTAAAAAGAAACTTGCAATATTAATAGCATGTTAATGCATAATGTAACACATTGCTTTGATGGGACAAACAGTGCTGATGACAGCGACTTGCCCACTGCCAACCGTGGGCAAGTTGCTGTACAGTTCCCCAAAATGTTTTTCTTCTGTTTCGTTGACTTTTACATACACAATATGATAGCATACGGTGTCATATTTATTTTATTGAGAAATGTCCAGGAAGGACAATGACGCAAATGTTATGAATGTGACAAGCAAAGGAACACTTCCTTCTTGGCTTTGCCACCTCAATAATGGGCACACCTTACTGATGGGCACAGCCCTGTGCCATGTACAGTGCCACAGATAGATAATCTACGGCCCTTTTCCCAAAAGCTGTTGACTGTAAGCTCCATGATTATCCACCATTGACTAAGTTGAGAAGAACTAATGGGAGCTGCAGTTTAGCAACACTGGGAGCAGAGGTGTCAACGTTGTGGCTCTCCAGGTGTTTTAGACTTCAGCACCCAGAATTTCTGGCCATTTGGCAAGCTAGCAAGGACTTCAGGGAGTTGGAGGCCCAAACATCTGGAGGGCTACAAGTTTGACATCCCTGATTTAGAGGACATGTTCTCCTTCCTTGATTGTTAGCAAGCCAAGATCCCCCCATGCCTTTCTTGAAGGTACAAGAACTGAGAACACACACACACACCCCAAATCCTCCCCCAAAACCTAGTAACCTTTGGCCCTTCCACACAGCCCTATATCCCAGAATATCAAGGTAGGAAATCCCACATTTTCTGAATGTGGACTCAGATAACCCAGTTCAAAGCAGATATTGTGGATTTTCTACCTTAATATTCTGGGATATAGGGCTACGTGGAAGGGCTCTTTGACACAAACATAGAAATCCCTCCAAAAATCTAGTAAATTTGACCCAAACTAGATCCTTTTATAATGTAATAATAATAATATTCATTTATTTGACCAGTCATATGATCATTTAAAAATAGAACACGAGTAAAAAACAAGGCAAAAAGGTGAGGACAGCAGCTGACCTTCTATTTATAGTCAGAATCTTATTTTCCTGGTTCTTCTTTCAGGAAATCTGCTCTTTTCTTAATAGCTTTCAGAATAAAAAGGCTTACTCTGATTATGTTGGATCTTTCCTGCCCTTGCAAGAGGGATGTCAGAATATCATTTCTGTTGGGGGACCTGCAGTTGGATAATATTGGATGTAAATATCTGTCTCGCAGTTCAGTATATGCTGGACAGTCAATTAAGAAATGTTCAATATCTTCCACTGTTTGTTCTCCCCATATGCAGAATCTCTCACTTCTTGGGATGTGAAGTATTACGGTTTGCATCATAATACTGAGTTGTTCAAACCTAGCCCTAGCCCTAGCCCTAGTATATATTCTTCTTAAGGGTAGTGGAAGTGGAATAGTTAGCTAATGCTCTAAATGAATATTCCTTTTGTGAGAAGCTAAAAACCTTGTGGCTGAAGACCTACCTATGCTCTCTAGGTCCAGCTGTGCGTAGAGATCCCGAATGTGTCGCTTGAGCACTTGCCCTGCCTCCGGACCCAGAACACCCAGAAATTGCAAATGCAGACCGAATCCATCCAACTCATTATTCAGAACCGCCATCCATGGTGTCTTCTGGTCATGCTGGACTTGATCTTCTAGACATAGGCGAGGAAGTCTACTGATCAGTAATTAAACTGTCTCATTAAGATTTGAGCTTTTACTGGCGGCATTCCTAGCTCCGCCCTTACTGCTGCCATCAGAATTGTTCTGGAAAGGCCCAGGAGGGTGCAAAGCTGCTTAACTTGGAATGCTTCGATCTTGGCCAAATTGATGTGCTCCCAAATTTCAGCCCCAAATATAAGTGTTGGCATTATTTTAGTTTTAAAGACTTCCAGGACAGGTCTGATTGTGCCTGGGTATCTATGATGGTACAGCTTATAAATGGAACCTGCTGCTTTCGTTGCTCTTTGTATACTATGAGTAATGGGGTTAGCCCAAGATGAAGAGAACATAATGCCTAGATATTTGTAGCAATTAATTTGTTCCAATTGTACGCCTTTCAGGGACCACGTGTACCGTTTCCTGTTTTTTCCAAAGACTATAATTTTGGATTTATAATGTTTGAAACATCAGCCAGGATTGTCCCTTTGGCAGTTCTTGTGAGTGTGTGGGCTGTTACCCAAAACTACACCTCTACTTCTTATTAATGGTAAAATAGATCTTGGTAGCTTGGCTTCCACTGCTCAGCAGTGTTTTTTCCCCCTTAGACTGTACAGTTGCAAAGTGAGCACAGGAAGCACTGAAGATAACCTTTGCCTGGAGTATTATATGTCATGTCAATATGTCCATTTGCAAGTATGGACATTTTACCACCAGAGTCAGTAATATTCCTTTTGTGGAACAGGAATTGTTTGTGTATCTGTTCATCATGGAAATTATTATTTGAAGCAGTTTTCTTTTTAGAAATTATTATTAGAGCTTTGATGCAACGTGAGGAATTGCCCTTGCAAAATACTGAGATGATCAAGAACTCCCTCAGGATGTCAGCAATGTTAATCTCTTCAATAATTCAACTGGTATTTTAAAAATAATCAGTGTAATCTATTGGTTAGATTGTTCAACTGGGATTTTGGAGTTTCAGGTTTTCACACTCACTGAGCCTTGACATTCATTGGGAGACCTTTGCTTTTTTTTAATTTCTTAGCCTTATTTATTTATTTATTTATTTCATATCAAAAGCATTGCATAAATTAGTATTAAAGTGATAAAAATAGAAGGAGTGCAAGCAGCTAATTATCTTTTGACCAAAAACAGGCAACAGCAATGGCATTGTCTGTAGCCTCCAACAATTCTTCCTCTGTACATGAGGCAGGGCATAGTGGACAAGCATACAGATGCGGAGTTGTCTGTTCTGCTCCACAGTCACACAAGGTGTGGGATTCTTTTAGGTAGTGCCATTTTGCCAGGTTGTCTTTTCTCAGCCTGACCTACTTACATGATAGTTGTTGGCAAGGTAAAGTACGTCATAGGAGCTACATGGAACCGACTACATAGACACTGAGATAAAAGTTTCACCAATGAATGTACAAACAAACAAGAATCATCTTTCTCTTTTATCTTCTTCAAATCTCAGGTGTCCCTGGTGCCATGCCAAATGCTACTTGGGAAGGCAATCTAAGAGCTATCAAGTGGGGTGATGCAGAAGCAAATCATGGAGGATGTCATGGTAAATAGCTCATCATTTTGACTCACCAAAAGTTTGAGTCTTCCCAGTGAATTCCTTGCAATCTTTGATGCTGCCCCATGTAGGCCCTATTTTACCTTTATTTTTTTAATGAAGGTTCCAAAAGGGTTCCAAAATTGAAGTTCATTTAAGAATGCAGTAAGAAACACTAGCATTGATCATATCCCACTTTCATTTTTGGGAGTCCATATGTGTGTGCCTGAAATTTCCAGTTTGAAATGTGAGCAAAGAAGCAACTGAGCACTCATCCTGTTACATGATCGTTGAGGGATACTGATTTGGAGATTGCACAAAACATGTATTTCCAGCTAGTTTCTGTGCTTAGAATTTCTCCTAAAGGTCATGCAGAACAGCCCTGTGTGAATATATGGAAAGATTTCCTATGTAGCTTCCAGTATTCTTAATGGTTAGAAATTCCAGCAATATATTGTTTATTTTCATGGAATTATTCTATAACTAGAGCATGCCATTACTCTGGGTAGGATACTTTGGCCCCTATTTAATGCAACAAAGGCCATAGGAAGTATGGCTTGTTTTTAAAACAAAGTGTGCAGGAAATATATGTCTTATTTCCAAGGTGTTTACTGCCTTATGGAGCCTTCCTCTTTCCCCACAACACTTTCCTCATTTCTTCTTGCCATTTTGCTTACTTATATTTAGTTGCATGTGCTGGAGTCATGCATTAATGTGCCACACATCTTCTTGATTGCTAAAGGAAACCAATTGTTTGGCGCCATCACATTGCTCTCTTTCCTGCAACAAAAGTACAATTATTACATGAAAACTGGGCTGCTTATCCAATTCCCTGACCTAGGGATCACCACAGTGGTTCTTCGATTCAATTTATTGACCATCATCTAGCTCAGGTATGGGCAAACCCAGGCCCAGGGGCCGAATGCGGCACCTTGGGCTCTTTCCTCAGGTCCTCCTCTCTCTCACCATCACATCCTTCCTTCCTTCTCTCTTTCCTTCCTCCTCCCTCCTCTCTCTTCCTTCCTTCCTTCTTTCCCTTTTGTCTTCTCTCTTTCTTCCCTCTCTTCATTCTCTGACACCCTTTCATCCTTCCATCCTTCCCTTCCCCTTTCCTTTACTTCTTTCCTCTTTCCCCCTCCTCCCCTCTCCTTCCTCTCCTCCTTCCCACCCCCTCCCCCTCCCTCTCTTCCCTCCTTCCTTACTCCCTCTTTCCCCTCCTTCCTCCTTCCCTTCCTCTTTTGTCCCTTCCTTCTCTCTTCCCTCCCTCCTTCCCTCTTTTCTTTCCTTCCTTCCCTTTTCCTTCCTTCCTTCCTTCCCTTCCTTCTTCCTTCCTTCTTCTTCCACCCTTCCTTCCACCCTCCCTTCCACCCTTCCCTTCCACCCTTCCTTCCTTCCACCCTTCCTTCCTCCTTCCTTCCTTCTCTTCCTCCTCCTCCTTTCCTCCTGGGGGATGTTTAGCTGGGAGAAGAGAAGGCAGAGAGGGAACATGATAACCATGTTTAAAGATTTCAAAGGATGTCCCATTGAGGAAGAGGAGGGGAGAAACTGGCTTTCTGCTGCTCTAGAGACCAGGGCACAAGGGAGCAATGCGTTCAAATGCAGGGAAAGAGATTAGACTGAAAGGATTAGGAAGAACGTCCTGGAGATTAACATAGATTGCCTCAGAGTGTGTGGAATCTCCTTCTCTGGAGGTTTTTCTGCAGAAGCTGACTATTGGGAGTGCTTTGATTGTGCCTTCCTGCATGGCAGGGGGTTGGATTGGATGGCTCTTGGGGGTCTCTTCCAACTCTAGGATTTTATATCAGGAGTAGGCAATATGGGGTCTAATGGATACACTTCTTCTGTCCCTTCCACCATATCATCCTGACCAAGACAAACCCTTTTGGGATCCAAACGTTTCCTGTCTTTCCTTCACTTTCCGCCTCCAAAAGAGAAGAGGAAGAAGAAGAGGAGGAAAGGGCAGGGAGGGGACTTAGGGAGAACCCCCTCCCAGCCCGCCCACTCCACTCTGGCCCACCATGAGACGCCCAAGTTAGAGAATTGCCCATGCCTGATCTAGCTTATTCAAGCCTGCAAATGCTAGTTCAGCACCCCTACAGCCCAGGGTGGCTCTGATGACAAGGAGAAGCAGATCCCTCAAACTTTTAATGAGCTCACTCATTGCCTTTGTATAGATACGAAGAAGTGTGCACATGTGCCCTTTAATTATAATCTTAATGTTCTATTTCTTTGGCAGGTCGTTATGTCAGGGGCATCTGCATCTTTGGAACAGGTGACCTAAAGTGGCTGCTGAGCAACCAAAATCTTTTTGCTAACAAATTTGAACTTAAAACGTACCCACCAACTGTGGAGTGCCTGGAGCTGAATCTGCGGGAGAGAGCCTTGAACCAGAGTGAGGTACCAGTGGAACCAAGCTGGTACCTTTAGTAAAAAATTAAAAAATGAACAACATAATAGATAGTCTTCTAGATGGACCATGCTGCCTCAACATCAAACATCTTTTGGATGTCCTATACGGGTAATTCTGTGAATGTCTCGGAAAACACTGCATTGCAGCTGAAATTAGAAGTCAGGGTAATATGTGTCTTGGTTGAAGTTTTGATAATATTCTTGAAAACTGTCTCCCATTTTGGAACAGGATGGTCAGATGTTCTTTGTTAATACTTTGTGAATCAAGTCTGATCAACGGAGTGAGAGACATGATTTTGGATATCTAGCTAATTTGAATCAGCCCTTGAACTTTGTTATCATCATCAAGCCTTGCCAGTTGAAGGTTCATATGAACAGATTCAGACTGACTACTATGCCATGTTGAAATACCTCTTGATGTGACTTCATTGTTGAAATCAAATAGCTGCTTGGACAATTCTGCCATGAAGTCAAGACATTGTATTTGATCCAGAGCTGTCAAGGAACTTGACTACTGACATCCATCCATTATCTGCACTGAAAAGAGAAAGCACCGGCTCTTCGACTTAGAAATTGAGATGAGCACCACCACCCCGAGTTGGACATGACTAGACTTCATGTCAAGGGAAAACCTCAACTTTAGTTTTAACAGAGACATATGTTCAATATTTAACATTGAAAATGTCATGTGGATGTTCATGAGAGCAAAGTGGCAAGAGGAGAGGAGGGCAAGCTGCTCTGTTTAGCCTGTTATATTTGGCATAGATGTGAGTGATCCTCAGAATGATGAAGGGAAGAACCAAAGAAGCACTGGAGTTGGAAAGTCTATGACTTTGATGGCGAACCTTTTAGAGATGGAGTGCCCAAACCAGGGTGGGTGGMGTTGGGCACTCGGGGGGGGGGGGAGTGAGCAGAGGGGMGACCAAGCAGGTGAGCAATTGGGATGGGCAAATGACCAAGTGGATGAGTGGGGGGTYGGCAAGTGGGTTAGCAAGTGAATGGGTGGACAGGCAGGGAGAGGTAGCAAATKATGTGCATGCCAGGGAGAGTGCTGTATACCCCTCCTGGTACGTGTGCTATAGGTTTGCCACCACTGGCTTKTGAGACACCATACAGTTAGAGTTAGGAAACTCACCTAGTGGAAGCTTAAACCAGCTCTCTCCAGATGGGTCTAACTATAATTTCTACGCTCCTTAGTCATTTCAATCCATCTGAATGATCTCATACTAGAGAAGAAGGCTTAGGCAGCCTTATGTATACTCTGATAAAAAAGAGAAGTCCCTACAACTGACCAATCAGAAAACATTGTACACAATCTTTGCTTCCATACCATGAAAAGGTGATCGCAATATGGGTTAAATTCCATTGAAAGAAAGAAAAAGCCCTTATATTTTATGAAAAATTTTAAAGTTTTACTACAAAAAACCATTATTGTTGCAGGAGTGGGTGTCTTAAAGAAAAAAAATGAGCTTTCCAGTACTTTCTTGGAATTTGCTGCATACTTGAAAACTGAAGGTAAAATATGTGGGCCAGTTGGAATGGTAAAAAAATATATAATAATCTTCTGGCTTCTTGTACAATTTTCTGATTGAGCTTTACTCTTAACAGTGGTTCTCAACCTGTGGGTCCCCAGGTGTTTTGGCCTACAACTCCCAGAAATCCCAGCCAGTTTACCAGCTGTTACAATTTCTGAGAGCTGAAGGCCAAAACATCTGGGGACCTACAGGTTGAGAACCACAGTACAGTTTTTTTTCTTCAGTTGACTGTGAAGTTCTGTATTTTTCAATTTAGTTAGACATCTATTTTCCCCCATGATGCAAGTTCATTTGAGAAAATCAACCAAGGATCTATTTTTTGTAAAATTTTATATAATAAAGTTCTGTGGGTCTTTTGTTAAATTAATAATTAAAACAAAACACTGTTTAAGTGGGCTGCACAATATTTCTTTGACTGCAGGAATGTATTCACTTTGCCAACTTTTCAAGAAGATTATTAGCTATGGGTTGCTGTGAGATTTCTGGGCTGTATGGCCATGTTCCAGAAGCATTATCTCCAGACTATGCTTTTTAAGAGCAGTGAGGTTACAGATGTTAAAAACATCTCTTGCACACACTCACAAACAGATCATTTGGCAATCCTAGATTCCTGCACATATTTGTTGTGTGAATGTGCCATCTTAATTATGTGCCAAAGGCCAAGAAATTAACTACATATGAATATTAGTACCTTTATCATTTGCTATAGAACACCACCATTGTCTTCCAAGTGAAAGTATAGGGCTGCCAGAAAATGTTGATTACAATGCTAATCAAGGTGTCCAATTGCAACATTCACACTTGCCTCAAACAGACAACAGTTATTTCTCCCATCCTAGACCTTCCACAGATATATAAGCCACCCTTGCCTGGTTTCCAACAGACCGCACAACCTCTGAGGATGTCTGCCATAGATGTGGGTGAAACGTCAGGAGAGAATGCTTCTGGAACATGGCCACACAGCCTGGAAAACACACAACAACCCAGTGATTCCGGCCATAATACATTGATTCTGAAAGTTTGATTAAAAGTATTTTGAATATAGTATAACTACTGTATCTGAAGGGAATCTGTTTCTGGACTTCTTTGATTGCAACTATCCAGTTGTGGTCTTCCTCTTTTCCTACTACCAAATTTTATCAAGTATTTTTTCTAGTGAGTCATGTCTTCCCATGGTATGACCCAAATACAGGAAGAGTCTAGGCTTGATTTGCTGTAGAATCCATTTATTCGTCTTTTTTAGCAGTCCATGGTATTGGAATTCTTCTCCAGCAGCACATTTTAAATGTGTTGATTTTCTTATTAGTATTTTTTCACTGACTAGCTTTTACAACCATATATAGAAATAGGATATGGATAATCCTAACTCTAGTATTCAATAAGCTATCTTTACACTTTGGGATCTTGTCTATCTCCTTCATAGTTGCCCTTCCAAGTTCTGATACTTTGATTTTGTAGCTGCAGCCTCTGTTCTGATTAATGATATATGGAAAATCTTGAACTAATTCCATGACTTTGTTATCTACAGAAATCATTGGTGACTGCAGGGTACAGAGAAAAAGAGTGTTTTCTTTCTTCAAAGGCAATTTGTTCTTCCTGTGGAATTGAAGGAGGAAGAAGAGACAGAGAGCTCCATAGAGAGACACAGCCTGCACATGAATCCCCAAAAGATCCAGTTAATAAGACTTGGGGTGCCAAATATAAGGGCTCACCCCTAATATTCCAGTTGTCATGCATAATTTCCAGACAAGTGCAAATTGTTTACTCAGTTAGCTTCCTCTTTCCCTCCCATTTGTTCTTGTGCTAGAACACATTCTCCATTGTGCTCTTCTACCAAGGAAAACTAGACAATCTATGTATAGAAATATAGACATTCATATATATATATATATATATATATATATATATATATATATATGATGTGTGTGTATATATATATATATATATAAATATTTATATTCCGCCCTTCTCACCCCGCAGGGGACTCAGGGCAGATTACAATGCACATATACATGGCAAACATTCAATGCCATTTAGACATACAACATATATAGACAGACATAGAGGCAATTTAAAATTCCAGCTTTTCCGGTTTCATGAGGGTATGCTCAGTTCCAGCCACAGGGGGAGCTGCTGCTTCACTGTCCACTTGTGACACCGGGTCCTTTGATGGAGTACTTCCTCATTCTTCTGCACAGGTGCTGGAAGGTTTTATGGTGTCATAAATTAGTTAAATTAGCTTCCCCGCATAAAGCAGTACCTAAATTTTCTACTTGACAGATACAACTGCCTTTTGCACTGCATAGGTCAACAGCAAGCTCAATATTAATGGTCAGGAGCTTACTCTGCAGCTGGCTACTAATTAGCTGTGCCACAGCCCAGTCCTTATGAATGTGTATATTTATGAGACCCCTTCAGGAGACATACAATAGGATATAAACAAATATTATAATAATCCATACACATGATAAAAGTGAAAACATGTATGTATGTGGCTGGGGAGCCCACTTCCACAGACAGGCTCCCACTTTCACAAACCCATTGTACTGAGGAGCCATCAAAAGCACTACCTCCAATGACATTTCAGGTTATAGCAAGCGCCATGAACTCTCTCCAATGACATTTCAGGTTATAGCGAGTGCCATAAAATGTAGCTCAAACCCTGCCAATGTCCTTCCCAAACACCATACTGCCCATCATCCAAGGAATGCTCTCGCTTGGGGACAATTTTACTCTAGATTTTACATGTTTCCTTCACCACAGACATCTTAGTGCAGTGGTTCTCAGCCTACCTAATACCACAATCCCTTAATACGGTTCCTCAGGTTGTGGTGACTCCCAACCATAAAATTATTTTCGTTGCTACTTCATTACTGTAATTTTGCTACTGTTATGAATCATAATGTAAATATCTGATATGCAGGATGTATTTTCATTCACTGGACAAATTTGGCACAAATACGCAGTATGCTCAGATTTGAATACTGCGGGGAGGAGGGTGGGAATTGATACTGTTATTTGGGAGTTGTAGTTGCTGGGATTTATAGTTCACCTACAACCAAAGAGCATTCTGAACTCCACCAATGATGGAATTGAACCAAACTTGGAACACAGAACTCCCATGACCAACAGAAAATACTGGAAGGGTTTGGTGGGCAATAACCTTGAGTTTTGGAGTAGTAGTTCACCTACATCCAGACAGCACTGTGGACTCAGCAATGATAGATCTGGACCAAACTTGGCACAAATACTCAATATGCCCAAATGTGAACATTGGTGGAGTTTGGGGAAAATAGACCTTGACATTTGGAAGTTGTAGTTGCTGGGATTTATAGTTTACCTACAATCAAAGCACATTCTGAAGCCCACCAATTGGACCAAATTTCCCACACAGAACCCCATGACCAACAGAAAATGCTGTGTTTTCTGATTGTCTTTGGTGACCCCTCTGACACCCTCTCGCAACCCCTTCAGGGGTCCTGACCCACAGGTTGAGAAACACTGTCTTAGTGTTTCTTACTCTCTCAATTGGTATGGAATTTGCATGATCCCACTCACTGTCTTTTCCTTAATCCTTTCCTACTCTTTTCAACTCTCTCTGCACAACAAACAGAGCAGAACTGATCAGCAACTAAACTTACTGGAGAGGTTTGGGGGATTGACTCAACATGATGGAAAATGTGGTTTACCCTGCATTAAGACAGCACTGTGACCCCCACTGACAATGGACCTGGACCACATTTGACACACAAACCCCCCCATGACAAAAAAAATACTTGAGGTATTTGGAGGGATTTATAGGAGTTGTAATTCACCTACATCCAGAGAGCACTATGAACCTAAACAATGATGGATCTGGACAAAACTTGGCACACAGAGCCTCCATGACCAGCAAAAAGGTCTTTGGGGAAAATTCACCTTGATTTGAGGGAGTTGTAGTTCACCTACATCCAGAGAGCACTGTGAACCCAAACCAACGCATCTGGACCAAACTTGACACACATACATGATATGCTGAAATATGATTACTCAGAGTTGGGAGAGTTGGGGGGGGGGGGATGACTGACCTTCCTTTCTGGGAGTTGTAGTTGTAGAATGGGAGCAGCAATGTATCAGTACTTCTAAGGCTGAGTGTTCCCTTCAACCCAAACAAGGAAAGTAAAATGATCATTCACAACAGGAGCAGATTCCACATGATTTGACTATCACCTGGTGTTGTTTATTCATTCAGTCATTTCCGACTCTTCGTGACCTCATGGACCAGCCCACGCCAGAGCTTCCTGTCAGCCTGGCATAGTAAAGAAATAAACAATGGCTCTGACTGGAATCTGGAGTTTTGCAAAGATTTGTGAGCTGTTTGGGGCTCCAAATTTGGAAAACAACCGTATAGGAGGAGGGAACTTGGGCATACCCTGAGTGATGGATTTTTCAAGTAATAATAATAATAATAATAATAATAATAATAATAATAATAAACCTTTATTTATACCCCGCTAACATCTCCCAAAGGACTCGGTGTGGCTTACAAGAGGCCGAGGCCAAATACATCAGCAAAACAACAACATAACAAATACAACAATAAATAAACTCATAAAACAAAGCAATAAACATTAAACAATAGCAATAAACATTAAACAATAACACCACGACGCAATTAAAAACTATGGCCGGACCAGATGTAATGATTAAAAATTTTAAAATGCTGGACATGACCAGGTGAAATGGATGAGTTTGGCGATAGGTGCAGTGTGCAGACAATCTTAAATCTCTGGTAAAGTGCATTGGGACATGATGCTTGGAGTTTCCTATTCTGGGAAGGCACACTGGAACAACCATGTCTTCAAGCTCTTCCTAAAGACTGCCAACGTTGGGGCTTGTCTGATGTCCTTGAGGAGAGAGTTCCAGAGTTGAGGGGCCACCACCGAGAAGGCCCTGTCCCTCGTCCCCAACAATCGCGCTTGCGACGCAGGTGGGATTGTGAGCAGGGCCTCTCCGGATGATCTAGGAGTTTGTGTGGGTTCGTATGCAGAGATGCGGTCATGCAGGTAGGCGGATCCCAAACCGTTTAGGGCTTTGTAGGTAGGCACGGAACATTTTTTTCTACAGCACGAAAGTCAGAGGAGCTTGGTTGTTGTGAGTTTTCTGGGCTGTATGGCCATGTTCCGGAAGCATTCTCTCCAGACGTTTAGCCTATCTATGAACTCTTGTCTATTTGAGATAGGTGTGAATGTTTCATTTGGCCAATTGAAACATCCACACCTACCTCAAACAGACAAGAGTTCTTTCTCCCACCCTGGACATTCCACAGATATATAAACCCAATTTTCCTAGTTTCCAACAGACCTCACAACCTCTGAGCATGCTTGCCATAGATGTGGGTGAAACATCAGGAAAGAATGCTTCTGGAACATGGCCATACAGCCTGGAAAACTCATAACAACACAGTGATTCTGGCCATGAAAGCCTTCGACAATACATCAGAGGGGCTAATTCACATCTTTTGATTTCTGCAATAAACACGTGAAGGCATAGTTTGCTGGGAATAGAAGATGGCACCGGTCTTAAGAGAAAAGAATTTCTTCCTCCTGTTTCATAATCTGGAGACAAAGAATCATTTGTTTGTACTGGTTTCAGGAACGTTTGTGTTTCATGAAAAGCTGTTGATCAGGCTGGTCTAGTAGTTCATTTCCCTGTCCATCCATTCACTTGTGATTGAAGTTTTCAAACAAAAAAGAAGGCTGCTCTCTTTCTGACAAGAATGCCTGCTTGCCAGTGGGGAATAAAAGTATTTAGTCAGATAACAATTCTACAAGTTCTCCCACTTAAAAAGATGAGAGAGGCCTGTAATTGACATCAAAGGTAGACCTCAACTATGAGAGACAACATGAGAAAACATGTCCAGAAAATCACATTGGCTGATTTTTAACAAATTTATTTGCAAGTTATGGTGGAAAATAAGTATTTGGTCCATAACAAAAGTTCATCTCAATACTTTGTTATATATCCTTTATTGGAAATGACAGAAGTCAAACGTTTTCTGTAAGTCCTCACAAGGTTGGCACACACTGTTGCTGGTATGTTGGCCCATTCCTCCATGCAGATCTCCTCAAGAGCAGTGATGTTTTGGGGCTGTTGCTGGGCAACACAGATTTTCAACTCCCTCCAAAGGTTTTCTATAGGGTTGAGCTCTAGAGACGGGCTAGGCCACTCCAGGACCTTAAAAGGCTTCTTACGAAGCCACTCCTTCGTTGCCCTGGCGGTGTGCTTGGGATCATTGTCATGCTGAAGGTAGATCTGGCCATGGTGACCCACGCATTAGTCACCTCCAGATTGGATCACTGCAATGCACTCTACGTGGGGCTGCCCTTGAATACGGCTCGGAAATTCCAATTGGTCTAATGGACGGCATCCAGAATACTAACAGGAGTGACTTATCGGGAACAGTCAACCCCTCTGTTTAAGGAGCGCCATTGGCTGCCATTCATTTTCCAGTCCCAATTCAAGGTGCACCTACAAAGCCCTGAACGGTTTGGGACCCGCCTACCTGTGTGACCGCATTTCTGTTTACGAACCCACGCAATCTCTTCTATCATCTGGAGAGGCCCTGCTCTCGCACCTGCCCCCTTTGCAGGCGGTGGGGACGAGGGAGAGGGCCTTCTCTATGGTGCCCCCCCCCCCCGACTCTGGAACACACTCCCAAGGGATATCAGACAAGCCCCCACATTGGCAGGCTTTAGGAGGAGCTTGAAAATGTGGCTGTTCCAGTGGGCCAATCACAGAGTTGGAAGAGACCTCATGGGCCATCCAGTCCAACCCCCTGTATAAAATCCACATTGAACTGGGCAGTGTGGACTCAGATAATGCAGTTCAAAGCAGATATTGTAGATTATCTGTCTTGGTATTCTGGGTTATATGGTTGTGTGGAAGGGACCTGAGTCTCCACTGACGGATAATCTGGGATAAGCAGATCATAGAATCATAGAATCAAAGAGTTGGAAGAGACCTCATGGGCCATCCAGTCCAACCCCCTGCCAAGAAGCAGGAATATTGCATTCAAATCACCCCTGACAGATGGCCATCCAGCCTCTGTTTAAAAGCTTCCAAAGAAGGAGCCTCCACCACACTCCGGGGCAGAGAGTTCCACTGCTGAACGGCTCTCATAGTCAGGAAGTTCTTCCTTGATGTTCAGATGGAATCTCCTCTCTTGTAGTTTGAAGCCATTGTTCCGCGTCCTAGTCTCCAGGGCAGCAGAAAACAAGCTTGCTCCCTCCTCCCTATGACTTCCTCTCACATATTTATACATGGCTATCATGTCTCCTCTCAGCCTTCTCTTCTTCAGGCTAAACATGCTCAGCTCTTTAAGCCGCTCCTCATAGGGCTTGTTCTGCAGACCCTTCAGTCAGGAAGCAGGCAGGCTTTGAAGCTGAAAGAGCATTCAGTGCATTCAGTGCTAATCAAGGCGGCCAATTGCAACAGACAAGAGTTCTTTCTCCCACCCTGGGCATTATACAGATATATAAACCCCACTTGCCTAGTTGCCAACAGATCTCACAACCTCTTGAGGATGCTTGACATAGATGTGGGCGGAACGTCAGGAGAGAATGCTTCTGGAACATGGCCAGACAGGCCGGAAAACTCGATGCAAGCCTTCGACAACACATAAAAGTCTGGAATTTCAGTGTGTATATTGCAGTCCTGTATACTCCAGATGGAGGAACTGACCCCCATGGCCTCTGAGGATTCCCTGCCTGAGAAATGCAACCCTATGCAGTCCGTGGGGGATTTAAAGGCGCACCAACACATACATATGATGCAAGCTAATTGGCGAGCAAGCCATAGCATGGAAGAACTCCGAGTAAGGCGTCGTTGGCCCTTTTCTGACTTCCGCTCGCGAGCAGGGGAACGCAGGGCTCTCTGCCGGTCGTCCAGCCTGATCCTCGTGCACGCGCGATCTGCTGCCGCTGGAGGGACCGAGTGGATCAACTTTGGTAGCAATCGGGGGCGGGAGCCTTGGAGGCTGAGGCTGCAACTTTGCGGAAAGGTCAGTGTGGACAAGGCGCCCTCCACGACCTCTTCCTGGGCTCCCCTTCCTCCCTCGTATGGGTGGATTTATTTTACCCTATATAGACAGAATGAATGCAATTTGACACCACTTGAACTGTCATGGCTCAATGCTTATGGAGTCGTGGAGGCTGTAGTTTTACAAGGCCTGTGTCTCTGCCCTTCCACATAGCCATATAACCCAGAAGATCAAGGCAGAAAATCCCACAATATCTGCTTTGAACTGGGTTATCTGAGTCCACACTGTCATATATTCCAACTCAAAGCAGATAATGTGGGATTTTATTTAGCTATGTAGAAGAGGGCTCTGTCATTCCAGACAGGCCCTATATCCCAGAGATCTGATCCAGGTTTTCTGTTTGTCCCGGATTATCTTGCAGTGTGGACTCATATAATCCAGTTTAAAGCAGAAAACCTGGGATCACATCCTGGGATATAAGGACTGTCTGGAAGGGCCCAAAGTGTGCTAGTGCCTCACCAAATTACAGCTCCCGCAATTCCATGGCATCGAGTAATGGAGGGGATTTTGGGAATTGGGATCCAAAAAGTAATTCTCCAAGTTCTGAAAAAACTTGGAGGCCGCTTCCACACAGCTGAATAAAATTCCACAATATCAACTTTGAACTGGGATATATGACAGTGTGGACTCAGATAACCCAGTTCAAAGCAGATATTCTGGGTTATATGGTGGTGTGGAAGGGCCCTATGTAATCAAAGTAAGATTTCCTTGGGAGAGGATGAAATACTATTTCTTCAATTGGGTCTAACTCTGTTAGTACACATTACAAAATACATTACCTTGTAGCATGTTACTTTTCCTACCTAATAAAACTACAATAGAGTCTCGCTTAACCAACCTTTGCTTATCCAACATTCTGTATTATCCAACGCAGTCTGCCTCCTACCTGGATCCCCAGGTGAGGGAAATGGAGTGTTTATTTACCTGTGGAATAATGTCCAGGGTGGGCGAAAGAAAGATCCCTTGTCTGTTTTGGTGCTAAATTCGTAAATATAGTAATTACTACTTAACATTACCATGTATTTAACTGCATTTTCTGTCAATTTGTTGTAAAACATGACGTTTTGGTGCTTAATTTGTAGAATCATAATGTAATTTGGTGTTTAATAGGCCTTTCCTTAATCTCGCCTTATTATCCAACATTTTCGCTTACCCAACGTTCTGCCGGCCCATTTATGTTGGATTAGTGAGACTCTACTGTATCTACAAGTCAGCTCTCATTCCTTGAACTCTGATGGGAAATATACAGTTCTAGTATTTTACCGTTGTTGAATGAAATTGAGACAATCTTCTGAATCAAAAATCCAGAAAAAGGAGGCAGATACCATTGAGGATGAAGATAAACACAAAAGCAAAAATTCCAGTTTTAGCATTTTTTTTTTGCCAATTTCAGCACAGATAGAGCAGGTGTCAGAAATGCTTGAAAATTTACTTGATCAATTATCTGCTAAAGATTGTATACAAGAGTGCATCTGCACCGCAGACACGACTTGAACTGCCATGGCCCAATGCTATGGAATAATGGAATTTGTAGTTTTGGTGGGGCACTAGTACTTTTTGGCAGGGAAGCCTACAGGCCTTGCAAAACAACTACATCTTCACACTAGAGCATGAATCCACTTAAAATCTGGTTTCTGCCTCCTGCAGAATTCTGGGGTTTGTAGTTTAGAGAGAAGCCTTTAACAGACTCATTAAACTACAAACCCCAGAATTCTGCAGGAGGCAGAAACTGGATTTTAAGTGGATTCATGTTCTAGTGCAGTGTTTCTCAACCTGGGGGTCGGGACCCCTGGGGGGGGTCACGAGGGGGTGTCAGAGGGGTCACCAAAGACCATCAGAAAACTTAATATTTTCTGTTGGTCATGGGGGTTCTGTGTGGAAAGTTTGGTCCAATTCTATCGTTGGTGGGGTTCAGAATACTATTTCATTATGGGTGAACTATAAATCCCAACAATTACAACTTCCAAATGGCAAGGTCTATTTTCTCCAAACTCTGCCAGTGTTCACATTTGGGCATATTGAGTATTTGTACCAAATTTGATCCAGATACATTATTGCTTGAGTCCACAGTGTTCTCTGGATGTAGGTGAACTACAACTCCAAAAACTCAAGGACAACATCTACCAGACCTTCCCAGTGTTTTCTCTTGGTCATGGGAATTATGTGTGCCAAGTTTGATTCAATTCCATCATTGGTGGAATTCAGAAGGCTCTCTGATTTTAGGTGAACTATAAATCTCAGCAACTCCACCATTACCAAATGACAAAATCAATCACCCCCAACCCTACCAGTATTCAAATTTGGGTGTATCAAGTATTTGTGCCAAATTTGGTACAGTGACTGAATATACATCCTGCATATCAGATATTTACATTACAATTCATTACTGCAGCAAAATTACAGTTATGAAGTAGCAACGAAAATAACGTTATGGTTGGGGGTCACCACCACATGAGGACCTGGACTAAGGGGTCGCGGCATTAGGAAGGTGGAGAACCACTGTTCTAGTGTGATGAGGTCCTATCTCTCATGATTCCATAGCATTGAGCCATGACAGTTCAAGTGATGCCAGACTGCATTAATTGTATTCTTCCCCCTTAAAGATTTGGAACCTTGAAACCCCTCAAAAGTGTGAAATGCTGAACTGACCAAACAAATCTGACTGTTTCAAGATAGATAGATAGATTCTAAGGTGCAATATTTGAATAATACTCTATGATCATATATATATTTCCAGGATGAGTGTGGACTGGCTTGGCTACGGTTATGCAGCACTGGTTGCTTCAGGTGGAATAGTTGGCTATGCAAAAGCAGGTATTGTATTGCAGAGTGCTCAACTTCTTATCTTTATTTCTGTTTCTTCTTCTGTGTTCATTAAATAACCCCTAAACACTTGTGTTGCACCTTGTAGCCTTTTCTGGCAGAATAAATTGGAATGTACTGTGGGTGCTCAAACAGAAATTAAAGAGCAGCATCATGTGATGGAGCGAGTTTGAATTTATATTTAAAGATAACTTTAGTTTTCTGGAGAGGCCCTCTGGTGGCGCAGCAGGTTAAATCACTGAGTTGCTGAACTTGCTGACCGAAAGGTCAGCAGTTTTAATCTGGGCAGCAGGTGAGCACCTGCTGTTAGCCCCAGCTTCTGCCAACCTAGCTGTTCAAAAACATGCAAATGTGAGTAGATCAATATGTACCGCTTCTGCAGGAAGGGAATAGTACTCCATGCAGTCATGCTGGCCACATGACCTTGGAGGTATCTATGGAAAACGCCGGCTCTTCAGCTCAGAAATGGAGATGAGCACCATGCCTCAAAGTTGTACATGACTAGACTTAATGTTCCCAGTATTCCTCAGCATTAGCCATGTTGGCTAGGGCTGGTGGGAAAAGTAATGGTGTAGTGCTTTGAACTTCTGGGTGACTTTAGTTAAGTCACACTCTCTCAGCCTGCAATGAAACAAAGGCAAATTTGACTAAATCTTGACAAGAAAACACTGCGAGAGGGTTGCCTTAGGGTCACCCTAAGTCTGAACCAACTTGAAGGCACACGACAACAGCAAACTAGAGTCCGTCCCCCAACAATCTGAGGGACCATGAATTGGTCTGCTTAAAATGTCTAAGAAACTGTGATCTAGAGGATAATATGAAATCCTATCTTGGTTTAATTTTTTATGAGGCACAGGTTTTTCTTGTGCGACATGACACATGCTACAAGGGTGCTTTTCAACACATTGGCAGTGCAAGCAAGTCAGGATATTAAAAACAATAGTGTCCTTTCTTCATAATTCAGAAAAAATGTAGGAGGACAAAAGATACATCTCCACTGTAGAATGAATGCAGTTTGACACACTTTCAGCTGCTATGGTTCAATGCTATAAAATCATACAATCATAGAGGGTTTTTTTTTCCATGTCAGGAGCGACTTGAGAAACTGCAAGTAGCTTCTGGTGTGAGAGAGACGTCTGCAAGGATGTTGCCCAGGAGACACCCAGATGTTTTACCATCCTGTGGGAGGCTTTTCTCATGTCACCGCATGAGAAGCTGGAGCTGAGAGATGGGAGCTCACCCCACTCCCCGATTTGAGATGCTGACCTTTTGGTCAGCAGTCCTGCTGGTACAAGGGTTTAACCCTTTGCACCACCAGAGGCTCCAATCATAGAGCAATAGAGTTGGAAGAGACCACATGGGTCATTGTCCAACCCCCTGCCATTCAGGAAAAGCACAACTGAAGTACCCCTGACAGATGGCCATCCAGCCTCTATTCAAAAGTTTCCAAGGAAGGCGCTTCCACCACTGTCCGAGGCAGAGAATTCCAATGGGCTCTATAGGCTCATGAGGCACTAACACTCTTTAGCATAGAAGGCTAAAGATCTCAAAACTACAACTCCCAGGATTCAATAGCATTGAGTCATGGCAGTTCAAGTGGTATCAAACTGCATTCACTCTGCAGTGAAGATGCACCCCAAAAGAACGAATTCTGCTTGTGAAATTCCTATAAGCACATCATGGGAACAAACACAGTAAGTCTGGTTTAAAACTAGCACAGCTCTTGCAACATTTCACTAAGAGCTTCAGAAAATAAAAGGCTACATTGTTTGTTGCAGGTTGTTCATTGAATATCATTGCTACATAATATGGCAGAATATGTTTTGTTGGAGAACTGCCACTCCCCCCCCCCCTCCCCAATTCCTCATCCTCTCAACTCTTTTTCATAGAAAAAGGCTACTATGTAGACTAGTGACAATTGAACTCTTTCACCAGGGAATCTATTTGGGCCAATTCTTTATTGCATTCAGACATTGTTGCTATGTTTCTGGTACAGCAGGCTTTGGGAGGGGTAGATTTCTCTCACTTCCTGTAGTCTCACCCCTATTCTTAACTATGAGTCATTTAGAAGTCAGATGTTTGTAACTCTGAGACTGTATTTATATTTTTAACTCTCATACTACAAGGGAAGTTTCTGCCATAACACAAGCTGGAGAGATGGATTTATTTTTGTGTGCCATGAAATCATTTCTGATGCATGGCAACCCCAATGGCTATATCACAGGAACCCCCAGTGGCACAATGGGTTAGACACTTGTGCCAGCAGGACTGCTAACCAAAGGATCAGCGGTTCGAATCCAGGGAGTGGGGTGAGCTCCCACCTGTCATCTCCAGCTTCTCATGCAGGGACATGAGAGAAGCCTCCCACAGGATGGAAAACATGTCCAGGCGTCCCCTGGGCAACATCGTTGAACGGCCAATTCTCACACACCAGAAGCGACTCAAGTTGCTCCTGACACACACACACAAATATATATATCATAGTGTTTTCAGGAGCTGAAAGTGTGACTCATCCAAGGTCACCCAGTACATTTCCATGGCTGAGAAGCAAATCAAATCCTGGGCCCCAGTCATAGTCAAATGCTTTTAAAACTCCATGTTGGTTTTAAATGGAATTATACCCTCCTTCCATAGATTTGTACACTTCTCCACCTTAATTAGTCTTCCATCTTCTAATAAGTGCAATCTTTTTTATTTACTACAGGTAGTGTTCCTTCTCTAGCTGCTGGTCTCCTTTTTGGTAGTTTAGCAGGACTGGGTGCGTATCAGCAGTCTCAAGATCCAAAGAATGTTTGGCTTTCTCTGAGTAAGTACTTTACTCGTATTTTGATATATGTATACAATTTCTACAAAAATTAGTCACTATTATTATTGGCTCGCAGTAGCTGCTTCATATTCAGTACGAAGCAGGACACACGTTGCACATATTTGTTGCTGCTGCACTTGCTAGTAGGACGGAAAGGAAACATCTCCATCCTTGTGGGCCCTATTAGAAGCTGAATGGATCTCTTTTGCCTAATCAAGCTGATGGCTCCTTAAGTGGGCTAGCAGGGTCAGGACAGGTTTATATATCTGTGGAATGTCCAGGGTGGGAGAAAGAACTCTCATGTGTTTGAGGCAGATGTGAATGTTGCAATTGGCCACCTTAATTAGCATTGAATGCCCTTTCAGCTTCAAAGCCTGCCTGCTTCCTGACTGCGGGAATCCTTTGCTGGGAGGTGCTAGCTGGCCCTGATTGTTTCCTGTCTGGAATTCTCCTATTTTCTGAGTGTTGCTCTTTATTTACTATCCTGATTTTAGAATTTTTTAAAAATACTGGTAGCCAGATTTTATTCATTTTCGAAGTTTCCTCCTTTCTGTTGCAATTACCCGCATGCTTGAGAACCTGATGAACCAACCTGGACACAGCATATTATTTGAGAACAAAGAAATGCTGGACCATTTTAACAACCACCAGGTCAGACAACACAGAGAAGCCATTAAAATCCACAAGCTTTGAAGTTGCAAGGCCATTTAGTGCTAATCAAGGTGGTCAATTGCAACATTCACACTTACCTCAAACAAACAAGAGTCCTTTCTCCCACCCTGGACATTCCACAGATATATAAACCTCACTTGCCTAGTTTCCAACAGGCCTCACAACCTCTGCCATAGATGTGGGTGAAACGTCAGGAGGGAATGCTTCTGAAACATGGGGATTACAACCTGGAAAACTCACAGCAACCCAACCATTCAATTGTTTTGATCTTTCCCTCTTAGTTGCATCTGGAACTCTAACTGGTGTGATGGGAATGAGATTCTATAACTCCAGGAAATTCATGCCTGCAGGACTAATTGCTGGTGCCAGGTACAGGTTCAACTTTTGTTCTCCAGTGATCCAACTCTGAAGGGCTCTTTTATTGAACAAGGGCAATGGGGGTGCTTTAGTTAATACTGGGTTGGTATTGTGGCCCTCTCAATTTACAACCATCACTTAGTTTACTTGTACTAAAATCTACAACAGTATTCACTCAAGTCTTGATTTACATTGCATTTCAACAGCTTACTAATGGTGGGGAAACTGGGACTACAGATGATGGAGAAGCCCCTTCAGCCGTAATTGTGCAGCGGATAAGAAGCAGATGATTTTCTGAAGAGACCGCTTTCGAAATGCTTGAACTGAGCAGTGAAAACAATCACAATTATTGACTCCCCCCTCCCCCCCAAATAGTACAATACAGAAATGGACAGAGGCTAGTGAGGGCACAAATGAGTCCCAGGCATTATCTTAGAAAGCAGGCCCTCAGCTTACGCACATTTTGAGTCAATTTCTTTCCTAATTGGTCCCAGCCTGTGGAAACTTTTTATACATTTTACAGACTTTTCCCATTTATGGCATGGCATGGCCAAGGATATTAAACTACAAGAGCACCATGTTTGTGACACCAGGTTATTATTTTTATTGACTACTGTTGCACAGTTGCTCAAGGCTACATCTATATTACAGCCTACTTCTGACAGTTTTTACCAAAGCTGTGAGCACTTTAAAATGATGTATGGAAAACCCTGATGGTTGTAAGCATTGTTACACATATGTATCATGTTTACTTCCCAGCCCTGCCCCCACATTTAAATGCTATCTATGGATTTAATACAAATGTGTATCTTTTCTTAAGTCGGCCTACAATCAAGAGACAGCATTTAAGCACATAGTATTTTTCTCTTTAAAATCAGGTTGAAATTTGCTAATTTTCATGTAACAGCAATTGGAACAATGATTTGTTTATTAATAAAACAAGTAGTTCTTCTGGGTCTGGAGGAGTGACATATTTTTGTGTGGGGTGTGTAAGTAAACATATTGCTTGGCCAATAGTACCTAAATGTACTAATTAGATTTTCACTGACATTCTTTGAAGACTATTTTCAGATGTACGATTGCATTGGTCTAGACATCTGTGGATGCAAGCGTATATACAGACTTACAAATGGGCACCTTTACGTAAATTTTGTAATAATTGGGTGCAGAATTATATTTAAAGTAGGCCCACTGAAAATAACAGAACCAAGTTAATCATTCTAACTAAAATTGAGAGTTTAAATATATGCCTGCATCCAACCCACTGCTATTATGGATCTTCAAAGCATTTCACCTATACCAGCAGAATACTTCATTAGGCACAATAAAAATGACTCAATCAGTTATTTGATAAGAGTGTAGCCTTTAGAGTTCACATTCCATTTAGAACTGCAATTCTCATTCTGTTTAGAACTGCAAAAGCTACAGTCCTAGATTCATTTACCTCAGAGTAAGCCCCACTGAATACATTTAGACTTGGCCTTAAGTAGACACACTTAGGATTGTTCTTTAAGTATTGTATAAGCAGAGCTAAATTGGTGGCATCCACATTTTTTTAAAAAAATACTTTGTCTCGCCAAAGAGGTTTTCAAATCTTCTCAGCATAAAATTATCATTGCATGGGAACTACACCCCCATTTTAAAACAAAAAATAGTTTATGCTACACAATTATTCACTCCCTAACCCAACATCCAAGTATCTGATACTGGTTCCACAGCAAGCACTGCAGACAACTCTATATGTTTCAGCCCCTTGTCTTTTTTTTTTTTTTTTTAAAAAAGTCAAACAAGCATATATTCCCTTTTCCCCATGTTTTAGAAAAATCTTGTCCAACAAATACTTTTAAAAGTCTGGATTCCAGAAGCAACTAGACACCTGTATACCTCCCTTTAAACCAACAGAATTCCGATATAGTTATGGTGGACTGACTAATGTTCAGAGGTTCTTGTGAATGCTCTATGCTTTGAAGATCCTGCTTTCCTAATTTAAAATAAAAATGGCAAAGCAGTGCTCACTCCTCTACATTATATGATGAAAGACTGCATTGAAGTCACTGGCTTAGTTTTTTTTTTTTCCGTGTCAGGAGCGACTTGAGAAACTGCAAGTCGCTTCTGGTGTGAGAGAATTGGCCGTCTGCAAGGATGTTGCCCAGGGGATGCCCAGATGATTTGATGTTTTTATCATCCTTGTGGGAGGCTTCTCTCATGTTCCCGTATGAGCAGCTGGAACTGATAGAGGGAGCTCATCCGCCTCTCCCCGGATTCGAACCTGCAGCCTGTCGGACTTCAGTCCTGCCAGCACAGGGGTTTAACCCACTACGCCACTGGGGACTTCATAATTGGCTTAGCTGACAACACAAGAAGAAAATAGGTTTTATAATATCCTGGGAAGACTTTAAAACAGGTAAGAATGAAAGCTGGATAGGACCCAGATGGTGTTACTGAACATACACCTCTGACTAAAAGAGCAAATGGGTTTTTTCCCCTTATATCCTGGTTCTGGTGATAGTAACAACAACAACAATAAAAATTTTATTACCTGTCTCTCACCGCAGAAATCAAATTATGACAAATACAGCTATAGCAGTTTCAAAATCTCCTCCTACAACCAACATGAATAATTTCTGGACAATGGCGGAATCACTCTTTTAAAATGGGAAACACCCATGTCAAAGAACCCAAAGCAGCTCAATGGCCATCTGCCCACACCCTTCTTTTTAAGCACCTGATGATCTAAAGCAGTGGTTCCCAACATTTTTTTTTTTTACCAGGGACCACTTTGATCAGGAACCACTCTCCAACATTAGTATCAAAAGGGTTATGAATACGTTTTTTGTCAATTTTAGATTAGGTTTGGTTATTTGGAGTGATGATTCAGAAAATTGCATTGGATAGATATCATCAGCTCTAGTTTTTGATAAAGAACATATGCCATCTAGTTGCCATCTGCTCACCCACAGAAAACTGTATTTAATAATCTAGAGCTGATGTCTATCCAATGCAATTTTTAGAATCAGCACGCCAAATAACCTCAGGAATAGACCTTAAAATGTGGCATCCATGCTTCCAGGCACCACATGGAACAGCTCTGCTCAGGGGGAGGGAGGGAGGGAGGGAGGGAGAAGTAGAGGCCAGGAGGGTTATTTTTGCATTTTTTTTGTGGGTAGCCAGCCTATCCCCTCCCAACATCCCCATTGCCTCGGTGCTATAAAAGGGTTTTTCAAGACCAGTTGTTCTTGTTGCAACAGTATAAAATGATGAGGCCACGGACCATATTTTAGTTCTTGGGGACTCCTGGTGGTCCACAGACCACAGGTTGGGAACCACTGATCTAAAGGAATTATAGTGTGGGTTTCTGTATTTTTTGATAAGCATGGACAGGAAAATCAATAGAGGAATAACATCTAAGATACCAATCACAAAGTTAGACACAGAAAAACCTACATGTAGCTCTTGCTTAATATTGAGCCCCAAAATCATTTTTTCTCATGGAAGAGACTCTAATTTTGTATTCCTGAGAAGATAACTTTATTATAAAACCAACAATTTTGAACTGAAAATTCATCTGGTTGTGAAGGTAAGTATTTTGCTTTATACTAACACACGAAACCTCTTAAGTGGATACCTTCATAGACAGCAACTTGGTGACACAATTAACTATTAAGTTTTAAGAGTCTCAAGCTTATTAATTTGATACTCCAGCAATTACACATAGGGACTAACATTCTCTGCAGACCAACAGGAATTAACCTGGACTGCATTACAGCATATGAGAAAAACTGTTCAAAACATTGCTTGGCCATAACAAGGTTTCAGTGTCATTGTAGTTTTAAAACGTCAGCACATTCTATTAAAATAAGCAAAACATATTCATGCTCACTTTAGCTTGAAACCTATTTCAAGTCTTGAATCAATCAACACATACTTTACAGTAGAAATATATTTTAAAAATATAAATATTTGTTATTCTAAAAATAATTAGTTTAAACATTTGACAACTGTAAACAACTGTACATGCTACTTTAAAAAACTGGATTGTGAGTATTAAAAGGACATGTTAAATAAGAAAACATTTAGCAACTGAAGAAGTGAACTGTTTATAGAGCAGGTGATGGGAAACTTGTAGTTCTTCCATATGATGTTGAATTCCAACTCCCATCATTACTAATGATGGGACTAATGGAAAGTAAAAGCCCAACCGCTAAAGGTTCCCCAGTCTAGCTTGCAGTGATAAATCTGACTGGCAGAACAAGGACTGCTGTTATGTAGTGTACCAATGAATCTATTCATACAATGAAAAGCTTTGGACCACTGGGTAATCTATGGCATCCAAAACAGAAAAGGAAAGGTTGGTCTCACTGCTACACTATAATGTATACAAGAATGAGGTTTTAAGAACATCGACTGGCAACTCTTACCATGTTAAAGCAATTCCTTCTATAACTGGTAGTCAGTTCTGTAGTTCAGCTTTGGTTACTAAGGAAAGGCACTACATTAAACTATGACTACTGAAATTGTTGAATAAAACACATGCAGTGACTTAATTCTCTGGCATATGATTCCTGTTTCATAAAAGAAACGATTTTGGAAAATCGTGGGATGAACATAAAAAATGTAAAGATTTTAGAAGGTTATATTCAATAATAATTATTAAAATGCTTCCTTCCTGGCTCAGCAATTGTGCTAGCGGGCATTCCATATGGGGACACATGTTTTCTCCCTGCTGTAGGATCATACCTGCAAGTGATCACCAGAAAAGTGGTTTCTTATATGTGTCAAACTTCCAGATCTCATATTCACACACCTCTAGTACATTTAACTGCCACGCTGGTCAATGAAAGCACAAGGGATTCAGTAGATCAATCTTTTTACTGCTCAATCTGTAAACTTTACAGCCAGACTCAGAAACAAGTTGTGCAAAAGTCAGAAAGGAAACAGTATGAATGTTTTAAATCCTACAAAAACACTTTCGTACTATGCTCGAAAAATGCTTGCAAAATGAGATACATCACCTCTATAAATAGTTATTTTAGTGGGCTTCTCCATTAATTATGGGTTCACGCTCTGCAATTAAATATAGTAAAAACATCGGCCAATTAAAAATAAAAACAGGTAAGATGTGGTTCAGTTCTGACACTTTGATACTAACTAGAATATGCAATAGAGATAATCCTTGTGTCATTTTTTTTTTTAAAAACTTTTGTTAAACTGATTTTTTAAAAATTTCTTGGATGCAGCCACTGTTCAAGAGTAATTCTTTTCTTCACGTTTTATCCATCCATTGCTTTCCATCACTGTAACTGCCAAATGGCTATAATATCTAATACATTTTTATGCTATTTAAAAATATCTTTAGAAAAGCACAACAAAGTTACCATCACTGTAGTAAGAGTTCAAATAGTCCTTAGCTTTGGCAAGATCTTTTATGGAATACTTTTTTATGTAAACAGAACTCTAACCCTTAGAGACACTATTGTGAGGAATGCTTTCTAAGTAAAACATATTTATTTTACACACACATATATTCCCTAGAGGTAATAAAATACAGGCTCTCAGTTCTTTCCAGAATTGATATTCTATTAGTAGAAATATGTTTTAAAGTGTCTCAGAGTGAAGCAGATTATATGAACAGTCACAGTAGGCATTTGTGGCACTTCTATCGATGCCCTCCATACTTGGCCACCCAGTCTGTTCTTCCATGCACTGGTTGTACCGGCTGTGGGCGAGTTAAAATGTTCATGCCTTTTGTGGCTGGGTTGTATGTAGGCCCAGGTAACTGAGCTCGAACAGCTTTAGTTTTCCAAGCGTATTCTGCATATTCTGGAAAGAAAACAAAATCAATGCAAGCTAGACTCCAGTGACTAAAGATGAATTCTCTCAGCATCAGACGGGCCGTTATTAGATTATTTTTCTATGTTTATGGTACATGCATGATATCGAATAAACTAATTTATACAAAGGATACATTTTTACCCCTGTAGTAAGGTATATATAAATATATATGTAAGTTGGAATATTGAATACATGAATTTACATTTCTACACCTGTAATAAGGTATATATACAGTATGTATAGAAGTCAGAAAGGTTCATTTATAAAGTGTAACTCCAGCCATAAGTATATATTTTCAGTTTTGGATAGCATAGGGAAGGGTTAACACCTCTGTAATGTTTCTTTTGCTGTCAGTACCCCTGTTCAGAAGATTTTACCCCACTTTCTGTCCCTGGATTTTGAAAAAAAAATGGCTTGTTGTGGAAAGAAGGTTTAGAGATAAAGCTTCAGTGGAGACTCCCTTTTGCCATGATAACTCTTCCAGGAGTGGATTTCCCTTCCTAAGTGTAGATTTACTCTCAGTTTCTGTTGTCTCACCCGGTTCTTAACTATGAGTCATTTGTAGATCGGATGTCTGTAATGCAGGAACTGCCTGTACTTTATTTGCAAATCCACAAAACAGACAATTTATGTAGGATAATGCTGTCCACATAGACAACCACTCTACTTAGCATGGGCCTTTTTGATTGGATGTCCGTATGGTAAATGTTATGTGACATCAAAGTATCTATGAGACCTTCTCAGCTGTGTTTATCCAGAGACAGTGACTATACATCTCAGAGAACTACTACATGCATGGCTAATGACTTCGTTGATGTTTTTATATACACTGAATATTTAATGCAGCTTAAAATTAGCTTCAATCTGAAATGGCTAGAAAACAAACACCCAAGAAAGTACACAAAAAACAGCCCTTAATGCACACCGGTGTTTTGTCATCAACAACCAGGCTTCAAACTGGTTCAAGGCTTTCCTGTGTTATTATCTGCATAGCAAAACCACTTTCTTCAATACTGGTTTGAAACAACATTCCATGGTCAGCATAGATGGAGCCTCAGTCAAAATCTCCATGAAGCAACTCTCCTGTATCACTGGGTTTCACTAGTGGTTTCGCCATATGTCTCTGAGGATACTGACTGACATAAGCAAATCCAGTTGGGTTTTCCTAGCCAGTACAAGGCTCTCTAGAATGCAGTCATAGATATTCAGTCTTACTGAGGCTTAAATCTAATTGTTGGTCCCAACTAGAGTAGAACCATTGAATCAATGGGAATTTAGTAAGTTTGTAAGTAGCACTGATTCACTAGATCTACTGAATTTGAACTAAAATTAGATTTAGGTCTACCAATTTTTAATGACAAGCCATACGTTTACAAAAAAACCCGTTATCTCCAACAACTCAATATACTAAAAAGAAGCAATAAAGAACTGATTTCAAATTATAGAATGTATATACTAATTGTTAATACTCAAAATCAACAAAACACCCCAAAGCTACAAAGTATTTGTATAAAGAGCAGGAAGCACCTAAATAAAATGCAATAAGGAATGTGATAATTAACTTCTGTATATACAAAATATTGATAATTCTACCTCCAAGGATTGAATTGGGATTATGAATCTTTAATGTGCTACATAGACAAATGAGCTTCCCAAGGTAAGCTTGTTTTCAGTGTCACCATACCACCTTATTAATTGTCGTGTTAACTATTTTGCTTTTACATAATTACCAACATGTAATTTTTCTATAGCTCTTTTCTTTCTGATCTATCTATTTCACCTTTCCCATGCTATAGTGTCAATTTTTCTAATTTAGGATTATAGTTAATGAATGTGAAGTGGACCCTGGTCCATCAAAGTTAATGTCATAATATATTTATTAGGCTGTAAAATGCCTTATAATTCTGTTGTTGTTTTCTGCACCAGGAAAATATTTACAATTACCCAGGAGGCATTCATTATACACAGATATCATTTGCATAAATGATTTTACAAAACAAAAATGGCGGATTGCTTCTTTCTGCTTATTCTTATCACACCACTATCAATAGCAGCAAAATACGCAAGCAATTTCTAGTTTGGTTTTGCATGTTTACCTTTTTTTGTGTCACAGATAGCAGGAAGATCTGACAGGCAGAATAAGTGATGTAATGGAAAGAAGAGGAAGGCATTTTTTTTAAAAAAAAACAGAGTTCATGAAAAAGAAAAGAACAAGAACATGCTTGCATACATGCAAAGAAGAAAAACAGAACAGGAAAGTTAGAATTTCACAAAAAAGATAAAATTGTTAAGTTAGAACTTTTGTACACTTGAATGGCAGGCAGAAGGTTAATAATAATGGACAAAGTTTCTTCCCACCATGGAGATACAATATGGGGAAAGCCGTGCTTGTAAAATTTCTGCTCATCAGCGAGCAAAATGTACAAACTCTGTCAGAAAGAAACTAATTGGCACATCCAGTAATGAATCGCTTTGGGAAATGAATTCCTGAAATTTGTGAAATCACTGATATACCTTTTGTAGATTCTGGGCCAAAACATAAAATGAGTGAGTTTTATTGAGATAAATCTTTTAACAGCATTCCTTTGAAGTTTGTAATTGCAGGCATGTTTTTCCCTTGTTGAAAAAATTAAGAACCAAGAAAAATAAGGAAATGGGCCCTTTCACCCAATATGGGTGCCCCTAGGTTTCCTACCTCAATATTGCTTTGCCCACACCCTGGGTCCGCTCTCTCTCTCTAAAAAGCCACTTCCACATCCCTTATATCCAGGTGGAGACAACGAGCCACCTGCAATAGTGATTCAGTAAAACATACAGTTTCTGACACAACTATCGTCTTCCCAAACTTGAGAGTTTCTATTAAGTATTGCCAGCTTACTCCTTTGGGCATGTAAGCTGCTGTCAAAATAATAATTTAAAAAGCCATTTATATGCAGGTACTTATGAAGACTATAACATAAAATCTTCATTTTATATCACACTTTAATCGTTTCATTGTGATGAAAAGATAGCTAAGAGATTAAGGCACTGAAAAGTGAATCAAGAACTTGCCAACTGTAATTCTTCCTTTAGGGGCTGCAACAGAAGGTAGCAAATTTATCATTTTGTGAAAAACTTTGTCTCTTAATCCCTGCATATTAAAGTAATTATAAAAGGCAAAATTACAGAGGCTGACTGAGGAACTGGCAGCCTACAGGTGAAAAGTTTGGTCTTATGTGGTTAAAACCGTATGCACTGGCATAGTCTACGCACTTACTAGTATGCATCTGCCCACCTAAATTCTTGAATACACCCACCCCAAAGTGGGCCGCTATGCCAGATGTGGAGCCCAACCTCTATCTCCAGTGATCCACACCACTCAGTTGTGGAACATCTAGAGCAGTGGTTTTCAACCTGTAGGTCCCCTGGTGTTTTGGTCTTCAACTCCCAGAAATCCCATCCAGTTTACCAGCTGATAGGATTTCTGGGAGTTGAAGGTCAGATGTTGTGAACCACTGATCTAGAGGATTTCTTAAGTAAAAAGTCACAGGGCCCATGGGCTACATAGTTTCCACTCCTGCTCTGCCAAGATATCTCTTCTCATTTTATCTTATCTAATCTACTGTTTTTATTCTTTCAATACTATCGCCAGTCAACTGTACTATGGGGGAAAAAATAAGGTGTATACAATTCATCTCAGAAGTTACACACTCACTCATAGACAAATGTCAAGGCAAAATTACACTGATATTAACAAAACATGTCAAAGAACTTTGGCACAGAAAGCCAAAGTTAAGGCAGTTAGTGCTGGGATGCATTGTTCATAAAAGACAAAGTTGCTACACAAAGTTTAAGGACATCATTTTGTCAGTTCTTAGATAATGAGATGACTTTTTAATGAGTGTTAGGTGGAATAAAAACTGAGTGCCAAGTTCAACTCAATCCTTTGGGCGAAGCCAAGTGTAGTCCCAACTGAATAAAACTATTCAATTCATGGGATTCACAAAAGTGCTGGGCCACTAAGTTCTAATTATTTTAATGGATTACTTTAGTCAGGTCTAACAAATTAATATATCCAACTATATGAAGACAACAACTTTACTGTGGAAGCTTAATTGTGCTTGATAGATTCATTTCTGCTGTTGGAACTGAAGTTCCCAATGATTAACTCCTCTGATATAAATGCAAGTAACAGAAAGCATACTCATCTTTGTTTACACTAGTTGAACATCTATCCTCATCTCATAAGAGATGAAGTATTATTACAGATGGGACTCAATTTCCTTCACCATTACTGAGGTATTTGTGTGACTGCAAAACAAGCTTACCTGTGGTTGATGGACCAAGAGGTGCTAGTTGTATCCTTTGACCAGCTGAACCAACCTCTTTTTTATGAAAAGAAGGGATGTATCCCACAGGGCCATTGTAAGCAGCACCTACAAAGCCAGGATTTCCTGTTGAAAAACACAAAACTGTTCTCAGGGGATGTTTTGTATAACTACCCATTGCTTTGCCAATATCTGAATTATCATTTTAAAACACTATGAGTCAAGCAGAGACATCCTGAGATATAACCACTGGTCAGAATTTTAAAGCTGTTTGCTTATATTTCCACTGCATACAAAAAATGGATCAGAAAGATGTTTCTTATATGTAGGATTTTTTATTTACTATGGAACAAAGGCATTCAGTCTTACGTCTCCAGTACATTATTTCTTAGTAGAGAGATTTAGAATTTGATTAGAATATTATCCCTAACATAAAGTGAAATTAAATCAACAAAAGAGGAAATGCCTTTGTAGAATGTTATCAGATATAAAAACAAAAGAGTTTGAACTACAAAAAAGAAGCTGGAGTGTATTTAAACATTTTCTTCAAGTCTCTATGTCTAACCAGTTCATTTTAGAGTGCTACAGATATATATATATATATATATATATATATAAACAACCTGTCATGGAGCTCATACTGGCAAGAAGAAGCACTAAGTGAAGATTCAAGGCAAGAGACAACATTTTTAACATAGGCTCTCCATATCAAACTTTCTTCTCACCTAATCCCTCTCAACAGTTCTGGTGTGATGATACCATCCCTGAAATTTTTACAACCAGCATTAGAATCCTAGTTCTACTTTTAGAGGCATCTACTGGGAGCCCAACACTAGCCCTTTTCATTTGATAGTCTTATCTTGGACACTGCAGAAATGTCAAATAAGTCTGAGTAATGCATCTAATTTTTGGTTGCCATTTTATGTCTTTACCTCATGTGTCCTTTTTGGATCAGTAATGAATGTGAATGTACAGAAAAAAAAAGATTTCCCAGTGTATTTCCAGAATGATCAGCTAGGTTTTGTGGTTAAAGTGGTCTACTTGTGGTCAAAGGCCACAGGTAGCTGCAAGTTGTATACCCCAGTCCTATTGTAAACCACACCCATGTAATCACACAACAACACACAAGTACAAATATATGTTTAATGGAAAATACATTTAGTATGATTTACATATTCTCTCCTCTCTCTTACTTCTTCCCTCAGGCTCACCTTAAAATCCAAAGTGAAAAAATGGAAGGATGATTTTTTTAACAAGAACAATTAATGTATAGAGATTTAAATTCTTAAATATATTTATTTTATAAGGATGTTTGGAACAGAGTGTACAGGAGAAAAATCAAATCTGATAGTATATCCTACAAATAAATGCTGGAAAAAATTCAGCAAGAGATGGCTAACTGAAAACGCAGACTACCCATCTAACCAGCTTTATCTATGAAAGTCCTTTAAAACAGTTGTTCAAATTCTGCAAGTACACCCAAACTATTCACAATACCATGCATTAATTAAGTCATCTGAATCTTTATTGTTGTTGTTTATTCATTCAGTCGCTTCCAACTCTTCGTGACATCATGAATCAGCCCATGCCAGAGCTCCCTGTCGGCCATGGCCACCCCAGTTCTTTCAAAGTCAAGCCAATCACTTCAAGGATACCATCCATCCATCCATCCATCTTGCCCTTGTTTTGCTCCTCTTCCTTTTCCCTTCCATTTTCCCCAACATCATTGTCTTCTCCAAGCTTTCATGTTTCTCATGATGTGGCCAAAGTATTTCATCTTTGCCTCTAATATCCTTCCCTCCAGTGAACAGTCGGGCTTTATTTCCTGAAGTATGGGCTGGTTTGATCTTCTTGTGGTCCAAGGCACTCTCAGAATTTTCCTCCAGCACCACAGTTCAAAAGCGTTTATCTTCCTTTGCTAAGTCTTCCTTATGGTCCAGCTCTTGCATCCATAGGTTGCTATGGGGAATACCATTGCTTTAACTATGAGGATCTTCCTTGCCAGTGTGATGTCTCTACTCTTTCACTATTTTATCTAGGTTGATCATTGCTCTCCTTTCAAGAAGTAAATGTCTTCTAATTTCCTGGCTCCAGTCTGCGTCTGCAGTAATCTTCGCACCTAGAAATACAAAGTCTGTCACTGCCTCCATGTTTTCTCCCTCTATTTCCCAGTTATCAATCAGTCTGGTTGCCATAATCTTAGGTTTTTTATGTTTAACTGCAACCCAGCTTTTGTGTTTTCTTCTTTCTTACAAAGCTCCTCAGCTCCTCCTTGCTTTTAGCCACCCAAATGGCATCATCTGTATATCTAAGGTTGTTAATGTTTCTTCCAGCAATTTTAACTCCAGCCTTGGATTTGTCAAGCTCCACACATGGCATGATGTGTTCTGCATACAAGTTGAATAGATTGGGTGAGAGTATGCAGCCCTGCCGTACTCCTTTTCCAATCCTGAACCAGTTGTTTGTTCCATGGTATTCTTATTGTTGCTACTTGGTCTTTATACATTGGAGAGAGAAAAGAAAACTTGATGATTTTCTCTAAGACATGTGGAAGAGTGTCTTGCTGAAGGTGGGTCATTGCCATCACTGAATTCTAGACAAAAATACAAAATAGAAAAAAGTGTGTCAGTGTAGCAAGAACAGATAAAACAAGAACAGTAATTTTTAATGAAAAATAATTCAAACCTCAAAAGCGTGAAAAACACGAATTCCTTACCCGAGTACTGTGATTCCATGGTCATACATGGCTTCCAGGTCTTCACAGAGTCTCACAGTATGACCTGCTTATTTTTTGCAATATTGTCAGAAGTGTGAGGTCAGCTTTTTCATCTAAATTATTAAATATTCCTCACACAAGAAAAAAAATCCACTAGCCATTTGAAGCAGGATATGGAACAACTTGGATGTTGAAAGAGGTGGGTGATATGGCAGTGGTATGTCTTCAGAAAATAGATAGAACATGCACAGACATTCAGTAACTGTGTCATACTTTCACACGAGAAGAAGGAGGAAATCTGTTTGGAACCAGATGGAGCATGTTCCACTTCATGATTATTTGGTAACTTGAAGGAAAAGTTTTCCTAAAATATTCAGGTATGTCGTAAGATAAATGATATCTGTCTCAAGAACTCCAGAATCCAAGCATTCAACTGTATTAGAAATTCAAAGAATATGGATACTTCTCAGCCACATATAAGGTTACATAGGTACAAAGTAAGGAATCTGTCCCAAAGTATGGCATTCCTAACCTTTTGCAACAAATCCCATTCTTTCTCAGCAGTGGCTCCATCCAGTCCAATAGCATCTGAACAGTCACAGCCTTCCTACCTCTGTTTTATACATTCACTAACATTATGATTTTTATCTAAGATAAGACTCAATGAACTCATAGAGACTGATTTTAAGAAGATTATACTTTGACTGCTAAGCTATGCATACTAGTTTCTAAAGAAAAATAGTTAGCAAATCCTTATCCTATCTCAATCAAAAGATTTTAATTCTGTTTTCTGTGTATCTTCACCAATCTAAATATCTGCATACACAGGCAATACCTATTCTTGCTTGACAAGTATTCTTGAATTACTATTCAGTCCAGAACTATTTTCTCTGGGCTCGAGGCACACTCTGCTTCAAGTTGCAGGCATGGGCTGATGTGAGGAGTTGAGCTGTCCTTTTAGGGGGGAAGACTGTTGAAGACCCTATGAAACCTTCTAGTAATCTTCAACGAAAGGAGATTCTTTGATCATGTATGAAAACACCTTCAGCACAAATAAGATTTTCTGTGTACCCCAGAGTTGACTGAAATAATAATATATGCGAAATTAAAATGTTAAAGAACTGATGGCTTTTCAAAATCAAAAAAACTAAAAATGAAACAAACATGCCTAATTTAAATACCGGAAGAAGAAAAAACTAAACCTACAAAGGATTAAGTGCTGCCAAACATAATCACTGTGAATTACCTTTTGGGTCCTCTAATTTTTCATTCACTCTTTCTTTGCATGACAGTTTTTCAATTGGTTTAATTAAGTTTTCTTCTTCAGAGATGGCATTAAACAGATAAGAGGAAAGAAAAGGATGAAAATGAAATCTTTAGGAAGACAGAATGAATTGATCAAATGAATGGAAAATGCAATAAATAAATAAATAAATATAAAAGTGAACAAGCAAACCAGGAAATAAAACAATAGGCAAGTGAGCCCATAAAATGCCTCTTTGAAGCACACCGCCTAAACTGCTTAAAGGCCCTATTCTGCACGAGGAGACAAGATTGGTGATGAGGAATTGAGATCCAAGCTATCAAATTATATATATTAGACCACATCAATTGAGAGACAAGGTGGGTACTATAAAGCTGAAGTTGCCATATGAATCTTGCAAAGATGTTATATTGATTACCTGCATTGATTCGACTAAAAGACAGACCTCCAATTGGTTTTGAAAGCAAGGGATTGTTCCAGCTACCATGGGAACCTTCTTTATTGGCTGCTCCTGAGGAAACATTCTTGGGGTTCACACCTTAGAAAAATGACCACTGAAAGATTAGTATATAACTTTTAATTTAAGGCATAATCTATCAAGAGCACTTAGGACCCATCTACACTATAGAATTAATACAGTTTGAAACTACTTTAACTGCCATGGCTAAATGATATGGGATTCTGGGACTTATAGTCAGAGAATATAAAGACTTTGTAAAACTACAATTCCCGTGATCCCATTGCATTGAACCAAGGCAGTTAAAGTTATGTCAAACTGTATAAATTCCACAGTGTAGATGCACACTTAAGAGTCACTATATACTATCCAACATTTTATATCAAACACTGTGAGCAAGGAGCATTTATTATTAATAAACATAGTACTGCCTATTAAAATGGTTCTATTTTGTAAAACAAGTTTTGGAGTTGGAAGATGTTGAAAAAAGTGCAAACTCTTGATTGGATTCTAGGTTCCAGCTTATACTATATTTTCTGACACTAAGATAATATACACTATATTTTCTGACACTAAGATGATCATCAAAAAAATTAGGTATGAAACTAATCTAGTGCTTTAAATTAATCAATACAGAACTTGCATGTGAACTATGTTTTAAAGCAGTGGTTCCCAACCTTTTTCAAGTCGTGACCCTATTTTACAGAGGTGAAGTGACCCGCGGCCCCAATACATTAAAAACAGGTGATCTGCGAACCCAAAACATTAAAAGTAGAGTATAGTGATGACTATGCTGTCTGGACCTTACAGCACTGCTCAGCTTGTGGTTGAGTGCTCTTGGCTGGTTCCTCAGCTGGTCAAAGAAGGGAAATAGCACAATGTGCTGGGCGTCAGACTCCTGGAAGTGGGATCATTTATTCGTGGTGAAGTACAATTGATTATATTTTGCACAATTCACTGGTATTGAAGAAAAATACATTGCCGCCCACCAGAAACAAGGCTAGGCAGCGTGCATGTATCTCTAAGAATTGACCAATCACAAGCCGAGCAGCACCCGCATTCTGTAGAGCCAGTCACCGAACTGCAAATGAGCCTGGACCTCACAATAAGTTAACCTGATGAATGAAAGATAGTTACATGTTTGCACAAACAAATATCTGTGCAGGACGTGATGACATGATTGTTCTTCCTTTATAAAATTTTCATAGCTCACCACTGCCCGGTGGCCTCACAGATAACCCTTTGCCATTTGGGGTCATGACCCATGGGTTGGGAGAAACTGTTTTAGAAGATAAACACATATCTTATCTATGAAGCTCACACATTATCGCTAACCCAAGTGGCAACAGCTCTCTAAGATTTTCCTCATTCCACTATTTAAGTTATTTTCCTTTAAAAACCCCTAGAGATTCCAAGGACTGAACCAAAGGTATTTTTCATAAAAGGAATGTCTTTTCACCCTAATTATGATCACAATCTTTAGAGCTATTTGAACATGTTCAACAAGGAGGCTTTTCATTTTTTAACCAGCAGGTCCTTGTGTCTAACTGCACCTCCTATTGATAATTCTCTGAGTATTAAATTCAATAAACTAGACAGAGTGGATCTCTACTGGTTGAAAAGCATAAACAGCTACACAAATATGGTACATAAAGAACTAGACACATAATTCTCTAACCAACAATACTCATGCAACATGAGATTTGTCCTTGAGTTTCACAACCTCCATTAATAAGAAAAAAATATATAAAAATACAATATTTACTCTTCTGTCCTATGAACATATGTAGAAACAGGTAGAAATGTCTTCTATGTGCAATTACTTCATTAACTAAACAAATATGCATTAAGCAATTAAATAAAAGCATTGAAACTAGTCACTTACCAGGTAGGTATCTTGATTGTTTTAAGTAGTACTGTTTTGCTGATGTCGTTGATACTCCAGAATCATTTCTCTTCAGAACCTTGTTTTCTCCTCCTGAGTGGCCAGAGCTGGGGGACCTTGACTCAGAAATACTGAAATTGAAGATAATCCATAACAACATCAATTAGCCCTTGAACAGAACAATTGAGTTTTCTACTACTTCAATTATCATTGAATGAGGAGCTAAGACAGACATCTACACTGGAAGGATGCACAGGTGGGATGTCAAGATGTTCAGCTGCAACTTCATCAGCTCTAACCTCTGGTCATTACAGCTTCTGGTGTTGGGAACCTGTGCCCAACAATATCTGGATGGCTAGTAGCTCATCACCCTGGGTCTAAGCAATGGATATTTCTACAGTCTAATGTCCCCTGCATGCACATCCTAGGCTCTTCCTATCACCATAAGAAAAGAAAATGGCCAAACAACCAATTGTCTTGAAATCTTCCACAAATGGCCATTAATCTTTAAAATAAGTGACATACTATCCTTTGCCTTATTTGTCTTGCAACCATTCCTGAAAAAGCTTTACAAAGACAAAAGGGGATTTTCAACCTCTTCCAGTTTTGTTATGGGGTCTTATGCAATTGTGGGAAGACTCTTGGTTAAAGATTCGCTCCCAGAGCTTGTCCACCTCAAATATAAATAAGGTGTTTAATGGGTCAAGATCAGTGTCCTGTGAAACTGCTCGTGGAAAACTGTATGACTAGATGTCTCACAATCCGAAAACACAATTAAATCACTTTCTACACAAAGAAGTCTGGACAGTGAAAGCTAGCCTGGCCTTCACCCACATTTTACATATTGCTATACATAGTTCCTGTGCGCCATTTTTTGTTGTTGTTGTTATATTTATTTATTATATTTATTATTGTACTCTATTATTACATTTATTATTTTCTCTCTTTATTATTATTGGAAGGATACATATGCACGTATACATTGAAGGGGGTTAGAATAATGGTTTAATCAGAGTTGGACAGTCTTACATTAATTACAGTTTGATGTAAATATTAAAAAACATTTAACCTAATGTTGCCTCAATTAATGTAACTTTGTGGTATTTTTATTTTGAAATTTACCAGTAGCTCCTGCATTTCCCACCCTTGGCTTATACTTATGTCAATACTTTTCCCCAGTTTGTTGTGGTAAAGTTAGGTGCCTTGGTTTATATTTGGGTTGGCGTATACTCAAGTATATACGGCACCTCTTTGTCTCAAAGGTTTTCATATTTTTCTAGCATGAAATGTGGCACCGATGAACAACCAACTTTTCTGCTGGCTCTTTGTTAATGCAATTACCTGCATTTGCAGTACCAAACAATAAAATGAGGTTGCTTACATTTTGTGTGAGTTCATTGCATTTTATCCAAGAGACTTCCCTTAAGAAAGAATGTTGGAAAGGACAAAGCAAACCTCATTCAAATGCCCACATGTTTTGGCATATATCTAAGGCATGAATGAGCCACTACAGGTGTCTTATGATGATCACAACCATATTAGAATTAGATAAAGGCAAAGAACAAATGGGGATATGCTGTAAAAATAATCTCAGCAAATTTGATATACATCTACTCATAATGAGTTGTTACGTACTTTGTACTACAGTGCACAAACAGGTATAATCCTAGTGCAATGTCAGTCCATTAACTCATTAAAAAGCTAATTTATTACTAAACTTCACATTCCTTCAACAAAGGAAGAGTACACTTAAAAATATTTACAAATATCATACAACATATGCAAGGATTTTATAATAGATAAAAAGTTATCAATATATCCCCAAGTTCGTTAGAAAATAGCAACCTGAAAAATAGGGAGCTCTGTGGTGAACACTATTTTTTTTTCAAAAGTAATCAGGCAGGATAAAAAGCAACTTATTATTTCCTTATTTACTCTCCCTGCATTAAACAGAACAAAGAATTTAGACTTTATTCTAGGATCTTCCAATGTAGTCAAAGAGAATCCATGGGCATGAAAACATCTATTATTTAAAAAACTCTCAAAGCATACATTCAAATTAAAATACATATTAAAAATATTTTAAACACACATTTTATTTAATATTTCAACTGGCAGAAACGAGCTAGTCTGGCAAGCCAAGGAAAGGTTATAAGTTCATACATGTGAAATGTAAATGTCAAGAATGAATTAAAAAGTTATAAAGAAAATAATGTCTTACCTAAAAAGAGATTCTTTTGTTTTCTTTTCATGTAATAAAGCAATGCTGGGCTTCTTAGAATATGAAATTCCAAATTCTGAATCATCAAAATCATCCCAACTATCCATGGTCTTTAACATAGTCTGACCCCATCGACGCCGACAGCTTTTCAAGCCCACTGCACCATTTGAAGGTCCTGTGACCACTGGCTTCTGTTTTATTACATTAAAAAAGCTACATTTATCTTTGACATTTCAGAGCTTTCGTATTACAAATGTACACTGAAAAATGTAATGGAAAGTATTTGAGGAAAGCAGAAGCCTTGTTAATTGCTGATACCAAGCTTAGCAAGGACTAGAGAATGGGATGATAGAGAGGGAATACAAAACGAAAATCAAAAAGTAATGGGGTGGGGGGACAGAACTCAAAAACTGAGAGTGCAGAGATATCCTTAAGATACAACTCCCACGAAGGAGGATTATTGAGCATATGCTGGAGATTGTAAAGCTAAAGATCTGTGACAAGAGATTTTTTTTTAAAAAAACAGCATATCAAAGACAAATGATTAAGATTAAGGAAAATGATGGTTAAAGAATATGGGGGAAGTTTAAAAAGTAGTAACTGACTTCAAATCTTAACTAAAATGGCTTTCTATCATTAAATAATATAGTCAGCTTGAAATAATAAAAATGAGAAACTGGACTCAAAACATCATGAATGGAGCATTCCTGGTATAGTACAACTTTTATTTGTTTGCTACTTTGTGACAACTTACTGATGTTGAGTTTTTATTGATGGCTGGAAGGAATGGCTGTGGCTGTGGCTGTTTTGGTGGTTGCTGATTGTTTGCATTTTGTGGCAGCTGAATTGGCTGGAGAGGATGTTGGCTATTCTTTGACAGACACTGCAGTGGAAACATTTCAGGTTCATCTGATGAAGATTGGGATTCTGGTTTCGATACAGGTTCTAGTTTTGATACAGGGTCTATCTTGGGTAGACATGGCTTCAGCTCTGCAGGTTGAGATGACTTGGGATGAGAGGGCTTCTGATCCAGATACTGTGGAGGTGGTCCTAAAACCTGTCCCACTTGGAAGTAAGGATACTTCAGTGCCTGAAGAAAAGGGGAACATTATTACTTGAAATACAATCTACACTTGAAGGTGGCGCGGCAGGTTAAATCACTGATCTGCTAAACTTGCTGACCAAAAGATCAGTGGTTTGAATCCCCTGAAGCTGAGAGAGTATGAATGCTCAAAGTCACTCAATGGGTTTCTACGGTTAAGTGGGGATGCAAACCTTAGTCTCCAATTGTAGTCCACCACTCAAGCCACTACATCATGCTGGTTCTAGCATATGTAAAACGAAGTACATTTTGTGCTACTGGAAATTGCACACACTACAATAAATACCAGCATCACCGAAAACAAGAAGAAAGCTCCCAAGATCTATCTAAGAGCTTGATAAACATTTAATTCTCAAATAGGCACCTGAAAGCTAGCAAGAAGAGACATAAACATGCCTCTTATGCAGGCATGGGCAAACTGGCTGTTAGGAATTGTGGAAGTTGAAGTCCAAAACATCTGGAGGGCCAAAGTTTGCCCCTGCCTGCTCTTATGAAATAACAACCCAGAGTTGGGGGACTAATCACCTTTTAATACACATCTGATCTTCCTAAAGCAGCAAGAAGTCATTTGGTATGTTGGACTACTATTTCCATCAACTTCAACCAGCATGGCAAACAATCATGGACAGGGACTGCTATTCATGGAATCCTAGAGTTGGAAGAGACCTCATGGGCCACCCAGTTCAACCCCCTGCCAAGAAGCAGGAATATTGCATTCAAATCACCCCTGACAGATGGCCATCCAGCCTCTGTTTAAAAGCTTCCAAAGAAGGAGCCTCCACCACACTCCGGGGCAGAGAGTTCCACTGCTGAACGGCTCTCACAGTCAGGAAGTTCTTCCTCATGTTCAGATGGAATCTCCTTTCTTGTAGTTTGAAGCCATTGTTCCACGTCCTAGTCTCCAGGGCAGCAGAAAACAAGCTTGCTCCCTCCTCCCTATGACTCCGTATCACATATTTATACATGGCTATCATATCTCCTTTCAGCCTTCTCTTCTTCAGGCTAAACATGCCCAGCTCCTTAAGCCGCTCTTCATAGGGCTTGTTCTCCAGACCCTTGATCATTTTAGTCGCCCTCCTCTGGACACATTCCAGCTTGTCAATATCTCTCTTCAATTGTGGTGCCCAGAATTGGACACAGTATTCCAGGTGTGGTCTAACCAAGGAGGAATAGAGGGGTAGCATTACTTCCCTAGATCTAGACACTATGCTCCTATTGATGCAGGCCAAAATCCCACAGGCTTTTTTTGCCGCCACATCACATTGTTGGCTCATGTTTAACTTGTTGTCCACGAGGACTCCAAGATCTTTTTCACACGTACTGCTCTCGAGCCAGGCGTCCCCCATTCTGTATCTTTGCATTTCGTTTTTTCTGCCTAAGTGGAGTATCTTGCATTTGTCACTGTTGAACTTCATTTTGTTAGTTTTGGCCCATCTCTCTAATCTGTCAAGATCGTTTTGAATTCTGCTCCTGTCCTCTGGAGTATTGGCTATCCTTCCCAATTTGGTGTCATCTGCAAACTTGATGATCATGCCTTCTAACCCTTCATCTAAGTCATTAATAAAGATGTTGAACAGGACCGGGCCCAGGATGGAACCCTGCGGCACTCCGCTCATCACTTCTTTCCAGGATGAAGAGGAAGCATTGGTGAGCACCCTCTGGGTTCGTCCATTGTACCAATTATCTATGGTGTCCATAGCTGCCTACCTCTGCTCTAATGGAAATGATTTGTAGAATGCCTTCTGAAGATGAGCACAGAAGCTATGTGCATCACAAACGGAAAAGCATTTAATTTACATCATTCCAAACCATTGATGACTTTAAAGGTAACATCCACTTCCTGAAACCTGGCCCAAAAAGCCAGCTGGCAACTAAACTAATTAATGAAGAACCTCCTGTATGTGTGCACCTATTAAGAGACAGTCCATGGCATTCCAACTCTTTTAGGGATACCACTGGATATAGCAAATTTCAGGGGGGTTTTTTGGTTGTGTCAGGAGCGACTTGAGAAACTGCAAGTCACTTCTAGTGTGAAAGAAATGGCCGTCTGCAAGGACGTTGCCCAGGGGACGCCTGGATGATTTGATGTTTTTTATCATCCTTGTGGGAGGCTTCTCTCATGTCCCTGCACGAGGAGCTGGAGTTGATAGAGGGAGCTCATCCGCCTCTCCCCGGATTCAAACCTGCGACCTGTCGGTCTTCAGTCCTGCCAGCACAGGGGTTTAACCCACTGCGCCACCGGGGGCTCCAGCAAATTTCAGTAATCAACTATAGAAAATTTAAAAGCACAGATGACTATTGCTAATTCCTGGCCATTTAAAAACAACAAGAATATTAAAGTTGATCCAACAACGATGGCCTTGTAACAAAGAAATATTTCTCCCTTCAAACATTTGGGCAAAATAAATTAGCAAGTGTAGGTGGTGAGGTGAAAGAAGAGTTTGCTTCTCCTTTTACATACCACTTTGGCCTTGCCCCATGTTCTTTGTTATGTTTTGTATATTGTGAAGGAAAATTGATCTAGGAGAATCTTGAGAACCACTCCTTTCTTGTTTGGGCAGACTTTAATCTAAGAGACACCATGACTCTTACAATATATGTATAAATTATATTTTAATAGTTTTGTCCTGATGTCAAGACTGTAGAAGCAAAACTTTCAGACTAATATTATAAGGCTTATATACCTGACTTGCAGTAGGTCGTTTCTTTGGGTCCCAGTTCAGCATATCGCTCATAAGTTGTACTGCCTCATTGCTGGCATTTGGAATGAGAGTTTTTAGGTTCAGGGGAACACACTGAGGGAAACGAAAATTCATTGCGGCAGCAAGTTGGTACCCTTCTGGCCAATCACTCTGTTAAAAAAGGATAATATAAAAATAATCATTAAGGCAATATAAGTTATTCATTCTGTATTTGAAAATCAGGTTAAAAATGAGGTTTTTAGGCTGCTGTTCTTAAGCAAACAGTCAACATTTGTTGTGTTCTGTGGCAGAGAAATCAGCTGTAGACAACAAGCCAGTGACCTTGAGCAGAGGTGACCTTTCAACTTTGTGAGCAGATTTTTTAAATGACAGATTTTAGATTTGTTTGAAATCTTAACTTGCACAAGCTTGTGAGTGCTCTGAAAGTTTGAGAAAAGAAGCTTTATTTATCAGTGTTTTTATCTTAAACCTCTTAAAATAAAATTAATTAACCATAAGCTGCACACAGCTCTTAGAAACTTTCTTTATACAATGTGCATGTCCTAGGGTGCCTATCTACTATTTCCCTCTGTTGTAGTGAAGAAAGTAGCCTGTTCTCCACTTCTAATACCAGTGAGGGAAAACTGATTAGGATTTCTGAAAATGACAGAAAGTCTCAGGAAGCCAGAACAAGCAACATAATTAAACTGACTTCGAAGTTACAGTTGCTAGAGTTCCAGTGGATGTAACCTTGGCTTCTGCTTGCCCAATGTAGATGGATAGTCTCACAATAGGAAAAAACTCCAAATTCTTTTTATGAAGTCCTAACTACTTTTCAAAGTGAAACAAAATAAAACTGATAAGGAGTGTAAAAACAGAATGTCTCTAGTAGTATCAATGCATTTTACTTTCTGCAACCACAAAAGTATATTTTCAAAACAGCAAACCTTTTTAGGTGTTCCTAATACTTGACAAATCTTGAAAATTTCATCAACTTCACTCGTTCCTGGAAAAAGTGGCCTTAGTGTGTACAGTTCCGCCATAATGCTGCCGACAGCCCATATGTCAATAGGAGAACTATAAACGGAAGATCTCAACAAAACCTCAGGTGCACGATACCTGTGGTGGTGAAGCGAAATAGCTGAATACATTTGCACAGATGAGACAATTTATGACCCTACTAAATAATACACTTACCATCTAGTAGAAACATAATCAGTGTAAGGAGGTTGAGATCTCAGTTCTCTAGCTAGTCCAAAATCAGCTATTTTAACAAGTTCTGGGCCCATGCAGAGAAGGTTTTCAGGTTTCATATCTCGGTGGAAAAATCCTGTGGAAACGTACCAGGAAGGGAACAAGGAAATGAACAAATAAACAAACAAAAGATCACTATATAAATTGCTATCTCCAAAAGGGAATGGGAGCCCCCAGTTGCACAATGGGTTAAACCCTTGTGCTGGAAGGACTGCTGACTGAGAGGTCAGTGATTCAAATCCTGGGAGAGTGGGTTGAGCTCCCTCCGTCAGCTCCAGCTCTCCATGCAGGGACATGAGAGAAGCCTCCCACAAGGATGGTAAAACATCAAACATCCGGGCATCCCCTGGGCAATGTCTTTGCAGACGGTCAATTCTCTCACACCAGAAGTGACTTGCAGTTTCTCAAGTCACTCCTGACATGAAAAAAGGGGGATGGACTTGAATACCTGTCTTTAAAATACACTTTTATTTTGCTTTAAAATTAAATAGATTTTAGAATACCTTGATTTCTGGCACCTGGGATATTTATGCAAGCTGATAAACTGGAGAGACTTTAAATAAGTGATTCCTAACCTTTTTTAAACCAGGGACGACTTGACAAGGGACCATTCTCCAACATTACTACCAAAAGGTTACAAATTGGTTTTTGGTCAACTTTAGATTCGGTTTGGTTATCTGGAGTGCCGATTCAGAAAACTGCATTGGATAGAACACATCAGCTCTAGAGTCTGATACAGAACATATGCCATCCAGTAGTTGCCATCTGTTTGCGCACAGAAAACCATATTTAATAATCTAGAGCTGATGTGGTTTATCCAATGCAATTTTCTGAATCAGCACCCCAAATAAACCAAGGAATAGGCCTAAAAATGAAGACACCAAGGCATCCCCACTTCTAGCTGCTACATGGAATGACTCCTCTCGGGGAAGGGAGGAGGAGAAGCAGCAGTCAGGAGGCTTGTTGTCATGTCTTTCATGAGTAGTCAGCCTCTTCCCTCCCAACATTCCCACTGCCACAGCACTATAAGAGTGTTTCATGAGACCAGTCGCTCCCATTGCAACGGTGTAGTAACAGTGAAGCTGCGGACCATATATTCGTTTTTGTGGACCACTGGTTGTCCACAGACTACAGATTGGGAACCACTGCTTTAAATCATGCAATATTAAATAACTAAAATCTAGGCTTGCCAACTGGTAGAAGGATTTTAATTCAATAACCACTTTTAAAATAATTAACATAAGGGTAGCTATTGAAAATAATGACTAGTGAGGCATTTAAAGTTTAAATTAATGAGCCAAAGTCAACAAATCATTGTAAGAAGAAAAGATGAAATAGTCAAACTTGAGAAGCAACCACCCCCACCCTTTCAGAACAATAAGCATACAAAAAAGCAGAGAAAGAATTGCCATCTCATATTCTGCTATAATTTAATTACAAATGCACAACACTTTTCTTCAGGGCATGAAGAATCTTTCAGTTAGTATTTTTCCAGTTACAAATAAATCTGAGTCATCACCTACACTCACTTCTCTTTGTAGAAAAAAAAAATCAGAATAGCAAGAAACTTACCATGTTTATGTATAAAAGCTAAGCCTTGTAATATCTGATACATAATGTTCCTGATGACAGACTCCGGGAACAATTTATTTCTGTGAGTAAATAAATAAATCACATCAACACATTTTGATAAGATTAAAATTTTGTCTGCCTAGGAAGCAGAGTTTTTTTATAGTTAAAACAAATAAGAGATCTTAATAGCTTGATATAAATGATATTTGTTCTTGAGAATTCATATCCCATTTTGCAACCTAAGGGTGCCAAAATGGTTAACAATAATTAAAACCTAGTGTCAATCACAGCATAGTTCACAACTATGACAAATTTTAATTGACTGATATATATATATATATATATATATATATGAGAATGACAGTAATATTCAAGGCTTTCAATTTTTCCTATGACACATAAATAGGAATTACATCTCCAATTAAACTCCATTCTAAAACCACAAATGGAAAATCAAACCAAACATGAGTGGCATAATTTCTTTTCTCTGGGGAAAATAGGTGAGAAAAATTAAGATGTTTTATATCAAAATACGAACAACCAGTGGAATTAGTACAGATGACACAATTGCATCAGGGTCTTTGAGATTCTCAGTCAAATTCTGACAATTTTACATTATTCTAATACCAATGGTTTTTCCTTGATAAAAAAAATTAAGAATTAAGAAGAACTCAAAAATGTCCAACAAATGTTAAGAAATATGATGCAGTACTACTTATTAAATGCTAACATACCTATCTTTCATTAGCTGATAGAGATTTTCCTTCATATATTCGAAGACAAAATAAAGATGGTCATTTTCTCGAATAACTTCTTTCAGCTTTATTACATTTGCATGATTAAGTTTTTTCAGGGACTGCAAGACATCAAAATGAAATATTTTGGTGTTGTATTTGATTCAAAAACCGAACAGAAGTCTGCAGTCTAGAATTAAATCACCTCCAGTTTTGCCACATAAAAAATAGGGTTCAGAGCAAATACATTAAGAAGGTCCAACATGGAGCTACTTGCCTCTCCTAAATGTACACAGATCTCTTTACTTTTAGAATTTGAAACAGAAGTAAAATCTAACCTGCTACTGAAAAATATATATGAAAAAGTCCATTTAACTCCACACAAGGACATCATGAAACTGTAAAACCCACTTAGTCAATCATTACCGTTTTTTGGTGTATTTTTTTTAACAAAGCAGGAGTCCTGTTTGCCCAGCTTACACTACTCTATACTATAGTATTGTAATCAGATTTTAGACAAGATTTTTTATAATGGTTATACCTTCTGAGCTATCAAATATTTCTGTGCAATGTCTTCCTAAATTCTGCAAAATGACACCAATTTCCTCTGATCTATTTTAAATGAACAAGAAAAAGTTTGCACTTAGCAAGCAAGTTTAATTGCTACCCATAAGCAGCAGAAAATGTTTGCACTTCTAAGGTGAGGGATGAATACCTCAGGGCCCTTCCACACAGCCATATAACCGAGAATATCAAGGCAGATAATCCACAATATTTTAAGTGGATTTTCTGAGTCCACACTGCCATATGATCCAGTTCAAAGCAGATAATGCGGGATTTTATGCAGCTTTGTTGAAGACCCCGGTCTTTGTTCATTTACACTGAACATCCTTTTTGAGCAACTTTCTTTCTTCAAAGGCCTCTGGGAGTACAGTATGACCCCTTTTCCACTGTCATATAAAATCAAGATTATCTGCTTTGAGCTGGATTTCATGGCAGTGTAGACTCATAAAATCCAATTTAAAGCAGATAATGTGAACTGGATTATATGGCAATGAAGAAGGGACCTAAGTAGGAGAGCACCACAGCTGAATTCCAGCAAAACACTAGCAGAATGAAATTCTTACTAATGCAATATGCATAGTCCTATTGGGGGGGGGGGGGGATCTATACAATATCTCATCAATGCCCTAACTTTGAAAATGTACAACTCCTAGCACAATTGCTTTGGACTAACACAACAACATTGCTAGACAAATATAATTCATAAATGTCCTGTAAGCATTTTCTGCTGTCCCAAAGATTGCTCCTTCAACAGTCCACCATTATTTCAATACCAGCAATATAATGGGAGCTTCAAACTGGAAGAGAGTGATGTATAGCACAAAACAACAAGCACAAAATATCTGAACAGATCTGCCAAGAAAACCCTGTGATAAGGTCATCTTTGGGTCACCACAAGAAAATTACTTGAAGGCACACAGTAAAAGCAAACATAAGGCACCAGAGAAAAGGGTTTCAGATATAACACTTCTCTCAAAATTGACACTACCTTGACTTCCCTCAGATTCATACATTCATCCCAAGAGTAGAACTTTCTTTTCATTCTGAAATAATAATAATAAAAATATGAGTAATCATACTTCAAATAACAGGGGGAACACAAAGAGAAAATAAAAAGGGGAGGAAGATCATTACTTAAGATGAGTTTAAATTCGATGTAATTGATATCAAGAAAGTCTGAACTGTAAAAATGACAATAATGAAAATGAAACAAAAGCTGGTACAACGAATTGCAAAGACGTTAAACCTGAATGTGCAATACAGAAGTATAACAACCTTTCTCTGGCAGTGCTAACTTACAAGGAACTGAGCCCACACAGCAAGGATGGGCAAATTATGGCCCTCCAAATAATAACAGACTGCACTCCCCCACAGCACTAGACAAGTTGAGGAAAAGTGGGGATTATAGTTCAATAATTTCAGGAAGTCAATACCTTGCCCACTGCTAGCATTCTGAGTCCCGAGGTTACAGTTTATTCAGCCAGAGGAAGTCTCCCAAGCACATTAAAATGATCAACCATCTCAATATATTTTACACAGGCATTAATATGGGGAAAACACTTGAATTATGCAACATGGTTCACCAAGAATCTAATTACACAAAATTCCTATATGGCTTAAAGAGTACAATAAGACTGCTCTTTTCTCCTTAATATTACTGCATTAAAGTTTCCTCGAACATTAATCACACTGGCTATATAGACACATACTTACCTAATACTTCTAGATAAATGCTATGCTGACCACTGTAGGGCTTACTTCTAAATAGATATGTACAGACCACACTGTGAAGCATTAAAAAAGATGGAGATTTAACACAGCTTACCTTTTGATGGCCACAAGCTCCCCAGATTCATTGCTCTTCCCCATTAACACGCTGCCATAAGTTCCATCCCCAAGTTGCTTCATTGTTGTGTAGCGATTCATTTTGTAATATCAGGCCAGCCAAAATCTAAACAATGTTGAAATTGTAATTTTCCTGAATGGTGCTGTCACATGAGTGAGTAGTCTGTCATAGTAGTTGCTTAAGTCATCAGCCTTCTTTCCCAGTATTATAACCACTATATTCGGAAATAACGTAGTAGCGAAGGGAATAATTCTGCCATTCTTACAGGCATCCTGAAAAACATTACAAATTTTTTATTTAAATATTTTATGAAAAAATACATGATTGACGCAAAACAACAATCTAAAGTAATATTTTCTTATAATAAAAATAAAGATGCAGAGTGTATCTAAACCAAGTGTATCTATTTATTTATTACATAAATAAATAAATAAATAAATAAATAAATAAATCGAACATCAATATAGTCTTCATTCCTAGCATCAAAATTCCCTCTGCAATTTTTGGACCAAGTAAGGTGGTTTTTGGGGGTTTTTTTATGGAAACTCTCATGATTGCTTTTAAATGCTCAGACTGATCAAAGAACAAAATCTCTAGATGCTCAAAGGTTCTCTACCCTGTAGGTAAAAACAAAACACAAAGGATTACTAATGAAGCAGTGACCAATCTCATTGTGGCTTCTATACATTATGGACCATTACAGCTAACCTCTGCTGTTCATGCAATATATTAGATCAAATACTAATTCTGACAGATATCTCACAAGCCTATACATATTTGTGTTGGAATGAGCTTGCATCAAACAAAACAGGAATATTTCTAAGTATATTTGCACAGGGTTGCATTGTTAGACTAAATCAATATTTAATTCCAGCCTGTTGGCAAGTGATGATTTAGCATACAATGGGTAGGTATATAACAGATAGGGAAGAAAGGAAATAGCTATTGTGTTTACTGAACCTATTCAACTTTTTCTCAGTTAAAAAAAATATTATCTTTAAGCCAATTATTTATTTACTTTTATTTACTGCATTTATTGACCGCCGCTCTCAGCCCTAGGGCGACTCGCGGCGGTGCACAACATATAAAAACAGTTTACAAAAGGGCAAAACAGGAAATCAATACAACAATAATACACTATAATCTAGTTACACTAAATAATCCGCTCCGTCACATCATAGAATCATAACCAATATCGTAATCCGTATTCCGTTCCAGTTGTCAATTACCAGTTGCCGTAGCGCTCAGTTGAATGCCTTCTCAAATAGCCAGGTCTTCAGGCTCTTACGGAAGGACAGAAGGGAGGGCGCCTGTCTGATGTCAGCAGGGAGGTCATTCCACAGCCGGGGGGCCACCACCGAGAAGGCCCTTTCTCTCGTCCCCGCCAGACGTGCCTGTGAAGCAGGCGGGATCGAGAGAAGGGCCTCCCCAGACGATCTCAAGGTCCTCGTGGGCTCATAGGCCAAGATGCGGTCCGAAAGGTATTTTGGGCCGGAACCGTTTAGGGCTTTGTAGGATAACACCAGCACCTTAAATTGGGCCCGGTAGCAAATCGGCAGCCAGTGGAGCTGGAACAGCAAGGGCGGTGTATGCTCCCTGCGTCCCGCTCCTGTTAGTAACATGGCTGCCGCGCGCTGGACTAGCTGAAGCTTCCGGGCCGTCTTTAAGGGCAGCCCCACGTAGAGAGCGTTGCAGTAGTCAAGGCGGGATGTGACCAGAGCGTGTACCACCATGGCCAAGTCAGACTTCCCAAGGTACGGGCGCAGCTGGCGCACGAGCCTAAGCTGTGCGAATGCTCCCCTGGTCACCGCTGAAACCTGGGGATCCAGGCTCAATGATGAATCCAGGGTCACACCCAAGCTGCGAACCTGCGCCTTCAAGGGGAGTGCGACCCCGTCCAGCACAGGCTGTAACCCTATACCCTGTTCGGCCTTGCGACTGACCAGGAGTACCTCTGTCTTGTCTGGATTTAATTTCAGTTTGTTCGCCCTCATCCAGACCATTACAGCGGCCAGGCACCGGTTCAGGACCTCGACAGCCTCCTTAGTAGCAGGTGGAAAGGAGTGACAGAGTTGGACAGCATCTGCGTACAGATGACACCGCACCCCGAAACTCCGGATGATCTCACCCAGCGGCTTCATGTAGATATTAAACAGCATGGGGGACAGTATAGAACCCTGTGGAACCCCACAGGTCAAAGGCTGTGGTGTTGAACAAGAGTCCCCCAATAACACCTTCTGGGTACGACCCTCCAGAAATGACTGGAGCCACTGCAGAGCAGTGCCCCCAAGACCCATTTCCGCAAGGCGCCCCAGAAGGATACCGTGGTCGACGGTATCGAAGGCCGCTGAGAGGTCCAGGAGCACCAACAGGGACACACTCCCCCTGTCTAGCTCCCGGCGCAGATCATCCACTAAGGCGACCAAGACCGTCTCGGTTCCATGCCCCGGTCTGAAACCAGACTGTGCCGGATCCAGATAATCCGTGTCTCTCAAGAATACCTGGAGTTGTGAGGCCACCACGCTTTCCATGACTTTGCCCAAAAAGGGGAGATTGGAAACAGGCCGAAAGTTGTCCAATTTAGTGGGGTCCAGTGATGGTTTCTTCAACAGCGGTTTTATAATAGCCTGTTTTAAGCTCGCTGGAATCTTTCCTTCCCGAAGGGAGGCATTAACCACCACCGTTACCCACTCAGCCAATCCCCCTCTGGCCTCCTTCAGAAGCCAGGATGGGCAGGGGTCTAGGATGGACGTGGTGGGCCTCATTCCTCCAAGTATCTTGTCCACATCCTCGGGCTTCACAAACTGAAAAGAATCCATCAAAATAGGACAAGCAGGTGCTCGTGTCACATCCTCAGAGACTGCATTTAACATGGTGTCCAGCCCAGAACGGATCAAAGCGACTTTGTCTGCAAAGAACCGAGCAAATGCTTCGCAGCGCGTGACCGATTGTCAGGGCTCCCGCCTGAGGTGGCGGGAGTTAAAAGACCTCTGACAATCCGGAACAACTCCGCCGGACGGTTTTTTGCAGACGCAATAGTGGCCGCAAAGAAACTTTTCTTTGCGGCTTTTATTGCCGCGGCATATGCCCTTAAGAAGGACACAAACCGTGCTCGATTTGGCTCGCTTGGGTCCGAACGCCACACGCTCTCTAGTTCCCTCTTCCTTCGCTTCATCACTGCCAACTCCTCGGTAAACCAAGGAGCTGGTTTAGCTCGGCTACTTGAGAGGGGACGTTCCGGAGCGATCACGTCAATTGCCCTGGCCATCTCCCCATTCCAGAGAGCGACCAAGGCCTCGACATGGTCACCTGCCGCGGAGGCGGGAAAATCCCCAAGAGCCGTCAGGAATCCATTCGGATCCATAAGCCTCCTGGGGCGGACCATCTTAATGGGTCCTCCACCTTTGCGGAGGTTAGGGGGTGCAGTGAGCCTAAATCTGATCAGGAAGTGGTCAGTCCATGGCAACGGAGAGATAGACAACTCCTCCACACCGCCACCCTGCTCCCATCCCTGACAGAAAACCAAGTCCAATGTGTGTCCAGCACAGTGGGTGGGGCCAGATATTTGTTGGGACAGCCCCATGGTTGCCATGGCAGACATGAAGTCCTGAGCCGCTCCTGTGAGGGTCGCCTCGGCATGGATATTGAAGTCTCCCAGCACCAAAAGCCGTTGAGACTCCAACGCCAGGCTCGAGACTACCCCCGCTAGCTCAGGTAGGGAGACTGTAGTGCAGCGAGGTGGACGGTACACTAGCAGAATCCCTAATCTGTCCCGGTCACCCACCCTTAGGTGGACGCATTCAAAATTTGTGGTCTGCGGGATGGGGCTCCTGGTCAGATGGATGGAATCTCTATAGACCACTGCAACCCCGCCTCCCCGTCCTCCGGATCTCGGTTGGTGCTGTACGGAGAACCTGGAGGACAAAGCTGGGTCAGATTCACCCCCCCAGCTTCATCCAGCCAGGTCTCCGTAATGCACGCCAGATCTGCCCGCTCATCCAGGATTAAATCCTGGATGAAGGTCGTTTTTCCGTTGACAGATCTGGCGTTCAGCAGCACCACCTTCAATCCAGAGGGCCCGCTCACCTGGCTACACCAATTTACCTTAGGAGACCGATTTGGGGTTATTAATGTAGATAAGTGGTCCGAATTAGGCCGAATTCGATGTCTCCTTTTTCCGCATCTCCTCCTTCCCACCACGATTACTATCGGCCCAGAGACTATTTTGTGCAGTTTCATCTCCTGAGTCATACTTAGACCAAGGATATAAATATATGACATCACATTCCCCTGGGAGCAACCTGCTGGAAGGAGAGGGGAAAAATCCTATTGTAAACAACAGATTGTTCTTTATTGGTGAGGACATGCTACCAGTAATCCCCGCAAGCAGGATTAAGGAAGGATTAAAGGAGAGGACAGATAGAGGACAAATTGCCATACTCAATTGATCTTAACAGTATTTGAAAAGTTGCAGGAAAAAATAGCTAATGAATAAAAATTACATTCACTGAACCAATATGCTGTAATGTTATTCTTTTAAATACAAGTTTAAACAAAAGATAATATCTGCTATGGCAGCAATAATACAATAGCTGAAACAAAGTCTACAAAAATATGCATACATATTTTCCCCTTGAGCTGCGTGACAAGTTCCAGCACAAAACCTCTTAGTACTGTGCAAAGCCCTTCAGAATTGCATAGACTATCAGAAAAACGCACATTTTAAGCTGTCAGTCAGCACTTACTAAGTGTCCATGAGCACTATTAGTATAAAATTATAATAAAAAAACTCACCATATAAATACACACACTCATTATGGACAACAGAAAAGCTACAAAGAAAGATATATAATACTTCAAAAATATTGTGAAATGACTTGTCCAAATGATTACACTGATGCAAAAGAACAGCATAGTCTGTTTTGTCGATCTAAAAATACAACTAAATAACATGATTTTTATTTACATTTTTTGTTAAAAACAAATTTGAAATTAGAACACAGTAAATTCTTAAAGACCTAATTTGGTCCCATTATATGTGAAGACATCAGACATACCATTATTAAATGCGAGGTTTTCAAAAGGCAATAGGAGTGTTAGGTCCCTGCCACACAGCTAAATAAAATCCCACATTTTCTGCTTTGAACTGGAATATATGGCAGTGTGGACTCAGGTAATTTAGATATTGTGGGATTTTCAGCCTTGATATTCTGGGTTGTATGGCTGCGTGGAAGGGCCCTTAGAAAAAAATTGGATAAAATATGACAGTTTT